AGTTCATTGAAAGTTGCGTCACAGTAGGTAGACAGAGTTTTAAAGAAGGCATTTAGCATGCTTGCCTTCATTGCTCAGACCATTGAGATGTCCTCTTGTGGTTGTACAGGACGTTGGTGAGGCCACTTTTGGAGTACTATGTACGGTTCTGGTTGCCTTGCTGTGGGAAGGATATTATTAAATTGGAGAGGATGCAGAAAAGATTTACAATGATGTCACTGTGACTGGAGAGTTTGAATTATAAGGAAAGGCTGGATAAGCTGAGACGTTCTTCACTGGAGTGTACAAGGTTGAGGGTGACCTTAAGAAGGTTTTATAAAATCATTAGGGGCATAGATAAGGTGAATAGCAAGGGTCTTTTCCGTTGGGTAGGAGAGTTCAAAACTAGAGGGCATAATTTTAAGTTGAGGAGAGAAAGATTTAAAAGGGACCTAAGGGCAGCATTTTCACACAGGGTGGTTCGTATATGGAATGAACTGCCAGAGAAAGTGGTAGATGCAGATACAGTTATAACATTTAAAGGACATTTGGACAACTGCATGAATAGGAAAGTTTTAGACTGATATGTGACTAGTTTGGGAAACTTGGTCAGCATGGACAGTTTGGACCGAAGGGTCTGTTTCTGTGCAGTATGACACTATGACTCTAAATGTTAAGTCAAAGTGTGTTGCCACTGAACCAAGCCTAAGGTGAACAGGAAAATGGTGATCTCGGAGATGAAAGACAAAGGAAATTGCTCAATGCATGGTTTGAGGCAGGAGAGTCGGAAAATTGTTTCATACAGGATAGGGCCAGAAATTATGTGGTATTTAAGGGAGATGAGGGAATGGAAAAAGGCTAAGGTTTTCAGAGAAGGAAGGGCCATGGGAATTGTATGGGTGAAGAAAGACCCTGGTGTATCTTGGTGATGAAAGCCATGCTCCCAATATATTGGATTAAGCAGAACAAATCCAGGTTGGCAACAAGATGTCACTACAGCCAAATAAAGTATATAAGTTCTATAAATTTTATAAGTATACTAAAAATGGTGATTACCAGGGAAAGAGTGGGGCCTATTACAGTCCAAAGGGCAATCTATGTGTGGAGCAAGTGGATGTGGGAAAATTTTTTAAATGACTATTTTCCAACTGTATTCAGGGGAGAGAAACATTGTAACTGGAGATTTTAGTTGGGATGGTGAGGTTATGGAACATGTTAAAATTAATAAGAGAGATGTACTAAATGTTTTAGCAGGTATAAAGATGCATAAATTACCAGAGCCTGATAAAGATGATCCCAGGTTGCTATGGGAGGCAAGAGAGGAGTTTTCTCGGGCCCTGGCGGATATATTTAATAATATGCTGGCCATAGGTGAAGTGCTGGATGACTAGATGATAGCTAATGTGGTTCCTTTGTTCAAGACGGACAACAGGAATAGGCAAGTAATTACAGACCAGTGATGGTAGGAACTGCCGATGCTGGAGAATCTGAGATAACATGGTGTAGAGCTGGATGAACACAGCAGGCCAAGCAGCATCAGAGGAGCAGGAAAGCTGACGTTTCGGGTCGAGACCCTTCTTCAGAAATGGGGGAGGGGAAGGGGATTCTGAAATAAATAGGGAGAGAGGGGGAGGCGGATAGAAGATGGATAAAGGAGAAGATAGGTGGAGAGGAGACAGACAGGTCAAAGAGGTGGGGTTGGAGCCAGTAAAGGTGAATGTAGGTAGGGAATTAGGGAGGGGATAGGTCGGTCCAGGGAGGACGGACAGGTCAAGGAGGCGGGATGAGGTTAGTGGGTAGGAGATGGGGGTGGGACTTGAGGTGGGAGGAATGGTTAGGGAGGCGGGGACGAGCTGGGCTGGTTTTGGGATGCCGTCAGGGGAGGGGAGATTTTGAAGCTTGTGAAGTCCACATTGATACCCTTGGGCTGCAGGGTTCCCAAGCGAAATATGAGATGCTGTTCCTGCAGCTTTCGGGTGGCATCGTTGTGGCAATGCAGGAGGCCCAGGATGGACATGTCGTCCAAAGAGTTGGAGGGGGAGTTGAAATGATTCGCGACTGGGAGGTGTAGTTGTTTGTTGCGAACTGAGCGTAGGTGTTCCGCAAAGCGGTCCCCAAGCCTCCGCTTCGTTTCCCCGATGTAGAGGAGGCCACAACGGGAACAGCGGATACAGTATACCACATTAACAGATGTGCAGCTGAACATCTGTTTGGAAGGTCTTCTTAGGGCCTGGGATGGTGGTAAGGGGGGAGGTGTAGGGGCAGGTGTAGCACTTGCTCCAGTTGCAGGGAAAAGTGCCGGAGGTCGTGGGGCTGGAGGGGAGTGTGGAGTGGACAAGGGAGTCACGGAGAGAGTGGTCCCTCCGGAAAGCAGGTAAGGGTGGGGAGGGAAAAATGTCTTTGGTAGTGGGGTCAGATTGCAGATGGCGGAAGTGTCGGAGGATGATGCTTTGGATTCAAGCTTCAAAATCTCCCCTCCCCCGACCGCATCCCAAAACCAGCCCAGCTCGTCCCCGCCTCCCTAACCATTCCTCCCACCTCAAGCCCACCCCCATCTCCTACCCACTAACCTCATCCCGCCTCCTTGACCTGTCTGTCCTCCCTGGACCGACCTATCCCGTCCCTAACTCCCCACCTACATTCACCTTTACTGGCTCCAACCCCGCCTCTTTGACCTGTCTGTCTCCTCTCCACCTATCTTCTCCTTTATCCATCTTCTATCCGCCTCCCCCCTCTCCCTATTTATTTCAGAATCCCCTTCCCCACCCCCATTTCTGAAGAAGGGTCTCGACCCGAAACGTCAGCTTTCCTGCTCCTCTGATGCTGCTTGGCCTGCTGTGTTCATCCAGCTCTACACAGTGTTATCTCTAATTACAGACCAGTTACTGACATCAGTGGGAGGGAAACTATTGGAAAAAAATTCTGAGGGACAGTAATAATCTACATTTGGAAATGCAGAGATTGATCAGGGATAGTCAGCACAGACTTGTTAGAGGGAGCTCCTGTCTGATTAATTTAGTTGAGGTTTTTCAGAAAAGGTGACTAAATGAGGGTAACGCACTTGATGTGGTTTACATGGACTTCAGTAAGGGCCTTGACAAGATCTCACGTGGAAGGCTGGCCCAAAACCTAAGAGCCCATGGGATCCAGGGTAAGCTGGAAAACTGGATCCAAAATTGGCTTACAAATTGAAGGCAGAGATTGATGGTGGAGGGTTGTTTTGTAATTGGAAGCTTGTGACCGGTGGTGTACCGCAGGGTTCGGTGCTGGGACCCTTGTTTGTTATCTGCATGAACAACTTGGATGTGAATGTAGAAGGTTTAATTAGTAGGTTTGCAGGTGACCCAGAAATATGTGGTGTTGATAGTGAGAAAGATGGTCTCTGTCTAGACTCTGATATTGATCGGCTGGTAAATTGGGCAGAGCAATGGCAGATAGAATTTAATCCTGATAAGTATGAGGTGATGCATTTTGGGAGGCCTAATAAGGAAAGGGTATATACGATGAAGGATGGGTCCCTGAGCAATGAAGGGAGCTTGGTGTACAAATGCATTAATCCCTGAAGGTATTAGCACAGATAGACAGGGGAATGAAGAAGGCATGGTTGCCTCCGTTAGATGAGACGTAGAAGATAGAAGTGGGAAGTCTTGTTTCAACTTTATGAATCATTGGTTGTGTCACAGATGGAATACAGTGGGTGATGCAGAGGCTCAGCGGCTAGCACTCCTGCCTCAGTGTCAGGGACCCAGGTTTGATTCCAGCCTCAGGTGACAGTCGCTGTGGTGTTTGATCATTCTCCCAGTGTGTGCGTAGTTTCCTCTGGGTGCTGTAGTCCAAAGGTGTGCAGGTTAGATGGATTTGCCGTGCTAAATTGCCCATAGTGTTCGGGGATGTGCAGGCTAGGTGAATTAGCAATGGGAAATGCAGAATCACAGGGAGTGGGTCTGGGTGAGATGTTTTCCGGTGAGGAGGGGGGCTTGATGAGCTGAATGGCCTGGTTCCACAATGTAGGGATTCTATGATTCTGTATCCATTTCTCGTTGCCACACTATCAGAAGAACATGGTTGCTGTGGAGATGGTGCAGAGGACATTCACCAGGATGTTGCCTGGGATGAAAAGTCTGTTATGAAGACGGACTGGAATAGAGGAGGCTGAGGGTGGGTCTGATTTGAGGTATATAAAATTTGAGGGGCACAAGCAGAGTAGATTGTGAGAGTAGATGTGTCTAAGACCATAGGGCACAAATTTAAGGTGAGGAGGAAGTGGTTTACAGGAGATCTGGTGAAATATTTCTTCACCCAGATGGTGTTAGAAATATGGAACACGCTGCCTGAGAGGATGATGGAGGCAGGTACTCTTGCAACATGTAAGAAGCATTTGGATGAGCACTTAGAATGCCAGGACATAGTAGGCTATGGACCAATTGCAAGTAAATGAGATTAGTGTAGTTTTGTTTGTTGATCAGGATAGACATGGTGACTAAAGGGCTTGTTTCTCTGTTGTATGACTGACTCTATAATCTGTTAAGGCCAGAATGTCCATACGTGATGAATGGATAAGTGGAAGTTGAATAATTGGAACTTAGACAGTTGGCAAATATCATTCATAGAATTACATTGAGACTTTCTTTTGTAATGACCCGGTGAAGTGTCTTGAGATTTTTTTTTTGCTAACTCCAGTATAAGGACAGGTTGTTGTTCAGAGGAATGGAGGAAGTTGGTGAAATAGCATCAAGCAAAGACTAAAAGCATTGAACTTCTTGGTGCATCTTTAAATATGTGATATTGTACATTGCTGTTTGAATTACAATGGCCATTTATAGCTTTTTATTTTAATATCTTTTCACACTTAGTGTCATGGTCATGATAAATAATCAAGGAACATCCATAAGATTTAGAAATGGCAGAGTTTTAAATAAAATGGATTTTTAAAATGTGTAGGAATATTTGCATTGCCATATGGCCAGTCATCTTTTCTGTGATTTACATAGTAGAATTAATGTCCAAATTTTGGATTCTAGTTAACACTGTGGAAGAAGGTACTAAAGATGAATTTTCATCCCCTACGGAGATAAGAACTGTGGAAGATCATCTCAGTAAAATGAAGATAAACAAGGCAGTACTTGGTATGTTTTTAATGTGGCGTTTATGTTTACAATTTGAGCTGAAAGTATGCTGCTTTTTGTTGTTTCACAATAAAAACCACAAATAGTCAAATATAAAAGAGGATGTATGATGCAAAACCCTTTATCTGTTCACTTCTCAATTTAGGTAAAATGTTGATTAGTCTCTCCTCGCAGGGCTTATAATTTGTTTGACATTTTTAACCAGATCAAGTAGAACTTGCTGTTTCTCAACTAATCTAGAAATTTGAAATGTGCTAAACTTTGTCTTTTGAAATCGCACAATAGGTATCCTCTTACAGAGAGTAGCTCCTAGCCAACCTTTGAGTCACCAATCAATTAACAAACAAATCAAATCTTGTTTATCATTGGGAATGTAAATAGCCTTTGACCCACTTTTTGAATCTTTGCTCCTTTATAACTGTCCTCTGATTCTACTCCCTTTATGTGTGGCTGCCAGTCACCCAGCACATTATCTTGCTTGATGGAAAAAGCGGATAATTGTTTTATATGATAAGCTAAACATTGATTTGGAGTAGGTATTAGGTAGGTACTTATCCTTAAAGTTGACAAGGCATCAGGATTTGATAAAATATATCTAAGGATACTGAAGGAAGTGAATGTGGAAATCGTTGATGCATTGGTCATAATTTTTCAATCCGAAGTATGAGAGTGGTGCCAGAGGAGTGAGGAATTCCAAATGTTGCACTCTTGTTAAATTGTGAAGATAAGCCCAACAATTTAAGGCCAGTGAATTTAACCTTGGTACTGGGGAATGTTTTAGACACAATAATTAAGGATAAAATGAACAGAAACTCAACTACTATGGATTAATTGAAGACCACAGAGATTTGTTATGAGCAAATTAAGTTTAGCTAATATAAGTTTTCATGAGTTAATGATGAAGACTGTAGTAAGGTTAACATATTGGTGTCCAAAAAACATTTGATAAAGTGTCACGTAACCTTGTAAGCAAAATTGACGGTTGTGAAATTAAAGAGCCAGCAATAGCTGGATACACTTTGGCTGAATGACAGGAAATAGTGAGTAGTGGTGAACAGTTGTCTCAGAAAGATTTAGGAGTGGCATTGCCCAGGGGTCAGTGTTAGTGATGTATATGGGATTAATAACTTATTTTAATAGCCAGGCTGCATCATCAGTGATGTTGCATGATGTGGTACTGAAACCTGACCAAAAAGTTTGAGATGTTCTTCTTAACTGTAAGATGTAGGAGCAGGAGTAGGTCATTCAGCCCCTCAAGCTTGTATACCATTCTTTAAGATTGCAGCTGATCTGACCCAGGCCTTCTCTTTTGCGCCAGATCCTCATCTCCCTCAACTTCTTGATATTTCAAAAATCTATCTAACTACCTCTTTTAAATATCTTGTGCTCCAGCCTCCAAGTCTGGGCTAGAGAACATCAGACCTGCACTACTTTCTGGAAGAAGGAATTCCTTTGCATCTCAGATTTAAGTGAGTGCCCTCATATTCTGTAACATTGTCCTAAGTTTGAGATTGCCCAAATAGTTGAAACATCATCTCAATATCTTCTCTGTGAAGCTCCCTCAGAATCTTGTGTTTCAATAAGATCATCCCTTAGTTTTCGAGATTCTAATGAATAAAGACCTAAAAATTTACCCATTCTGAATAAGTCAACCTCTTCACCCCAAGAACCAGCCACTAAATCTCTTTTGAACTGCTTCCATTACCATTATATTCTTAAATCGGGGGATCAAAAATGTACGTAGTAAGCCACCCTTGTATATAATGTAAATAATTAGTAAAGGTTGTTGGGATTTTACAAATATGGTTGGAGACTAACTTAAAATGTTGCGGCAGGAGTTGATTCACCATTCAATGAGATAATTGCTGATAATCCTCAACTCCACCTTCCTACCTTTGGTAGTAACGCTAGATTCCCTTGCTGAGTAACTGTTCATAGTATTCCAACTGTGGTCTGACTAGCGTCCTGTAAGTCTTTCCCTACTTTTATACTCCATTTCCATTGAAATAAAGGCCAGCATTCCATTTGCCATCCTTATTACCTGCTGAACGTGAATGTTAGCTTTTTAGGATTTCTGTATGAGGACTCAAGTACCCCTCTTTTGTAACGTTCTGCAGTCTTCCTCCATTAATATTCATTTCCTCCTCTTCCTGCTGCAGTACAAAATCTCACATTTTCCCCACTTTATATTCCATCTACTAGGTTTTTGACCTGTCTACAATCCTCTGCAGGCTTGAGTCATCCTCACCATATGCCTTCCCAGCTATTTTTTGTGCCTTCTGCAAACTTGGCTATAATAAATTCACTCGTCTCATCTGAGTCATAATTATAGCCCAGCACTGATCCCTGTGGCACTCCACTATTTACAGGCTGCTATCTTGAAAATGTCCCCCTTTTTTTCAACTGTCTTCTATTCGTTAGCCGGTCTTCTATCCAATGTTAATTGATTTATTGGCATGTGTACCAAAGTACAGTGAAAAGTTTTGTTTACGGGCAGTACAGGCAGATTATAGTAGGGAAGGATGTACACATCAAACGTTCTAAAAAAAATTAGAGGCATACAGGTTACATTGCACAGGGCGTAAGCTAGATGATATCAACGTTACCAAGATCAGCATTATTTGAGGCTAGAGAGAGCATTTGTCAGTCTGAAGCTGTTCTTGAACCTGCCGGTGTATGTGTTAAGACTTTTGTATCTTCTGCCTGATGGAAGAGGTTGTAGGAGATCATTACCGGGGTGCGATGGGTCTTTGATGTTGGCAGCCTTTCTGTGGCAATGAGCTGTGTAAATGGAGTCCATTAATGGAAGGTTGGCTTCCATGATGACCTGGGCTGTGCACACAACCTTCTGTAGTTTCTTCTAATCCTGGGCAGAACAGTTGCCATAGCAGGCCGTTATGCACTCGGACAGTATGCTTTCAATGGTGTATCTGTAGAAGTTGGTGAGAGTCCCTATGGATGTGCCAAATTTCCTGAGCCACCTAAGGAAGAAGAGGCGTTGTTGTGCCTTCTTGACCATCACATCTACATGGGAATCCAAGACAGGTTGTTGGTGATCGTCACTTCGAGGAACTTGATGTTTTCCACTCTCTCAACCTCGTTCCATTAATGTCAAGGTGGGCGTGTTCTCCTCCTTTGTTTCGGAAGTCAATGATCAGTTCTTTAGTTTTGCTGACATTGAGAGGGAGGTTGTTCTCATTGTACCACATCACCAAGTCCTCTATCTCTCTTCTGTATTTTGACTCCTGGTTGTTAAATATCTGTTCTACTGCATTGGTGTTGTCAGCGAACTTGTAGATGGTGTTGGTTTGGAATTTGGCAACACTGTTGTGGGTGTATGGAAGGTATAGTAGGGGGCTGAAGATGCATCCTTAGGGAACTCCAGCACTGAGTGTTATTGCGGAGGAGGTGCAGTTGCCTGTCATCACTAATTGCAGCCTGTGGTTCAGAAAGCTGAGGAACCTGTTGCAGAAGGCGGAGCCGAGACCAATGTCTTAATTTTGAGATCAATCTGGAAGGGATAATGGTGTTGAAGGCGGAACTGTTGTCAATGAGCAGGAGTCTGATGTAGGTATCCTTGTTGTCCAGATGTGCCAGGGATATGGCGTCTGCTGTGGATCTGTTAAGTCGGTAGGCAAATTATAAGGGATTGAGGCAGCCTGGGAGACTGGAGTTGATGTGGGCCAAGACCAGCCTCTCGAAGCACTTCATGATTTTTGAGGTCAGAGCTGCTAGGCAGTAGTCATTAAGGCACACTGCATGTACTTTCTTATGTACGGGGATGATGGTGGTCTTCTTGAAGCAGGTGGGGATGACTTGTTGTAGTAAGAAGAGTTTGAAGATGTCGGTGAATACCTCTGTCAGTTTGCCCACACACCCCAGCCCCAGCCCCAGCCCCAGCCCCCGTATTTCTTTTTTGCGAATTGATATACTTGGATTGGAAGAAGTTCAGAAGATATTCACTTGGCTGATTCCTAAGATGAAAGGATTGACTTATCAAGAATGGCTAACAGGCTATGCCTTCTTTCATTAGACTTTAGAAGAGGTGTTATCTTATTCAAGCATACCATGTTCTGAGGGGGGCTTGATAGGATAAATGTTGAAGTTCTTTCCACCAGTGAAGGAATCTCAATGTTGGGGACATAGTTGCAGAATAAGGGGGTATTCATTCAAAACTGAGATGCAAAAGAATTTCTTCTGAGGGATAGTGAATGTCTGTAATTGCCTACTCCAGACAGTTGTGGATACTTGATGACAGAAAATATTTAAAGAAGTAGACTTTTGAAGTATTGGGAGTTGGGGACGATGAGGATCTGGCACGAAGTAGGTGTTGAGAAAACTGGGGCAGATCAACCTTGATCTTATAGAATGGCAGGGCAAGTTTCAGGAGCTGAATGTCTACTTCTATTTTTCATTTTCTTATGCAAACTGTCCCCATTGTTAGGACAACGGTTAGGAGGCCAGTAGTTCAGTCATGAATTTGTAACCTTCACAGTGTTTAGATGAATGTAAAATATAATTACAGTGGATTCTGTACCACTTTTCCAGTTGTCAGTGCTACTCTTGATTACATTGTGCAGTTATTTTTATACAATATCCAGAGTATTTTTATGGAATTCATTTGTCTACTTTAGTTGAAGTACTGACCTATGATTTTAAAATACTACATTATAACAACATTAAACAATCAAAGCTATTTTTGTTTACATTTAAGGCATCAATGTGTTGGCTAACCTGTGTTCTTATTAAAGGAAGTACAAAGAATATTTTATGATGCTGCTTCTTAAACCTGTAGGACTTGACTATGTAATTGAATATCGTAATGACCAAAAGACGAATCCACAGTTTGTCTGTAAACTGTGCTACTGTAAATCAGAACTCACCTGGTTTCTCCCCCATCTCCTTGGAGCTAAACACATGACAAATTATCTGGTAAGTATATATTTAGTAATAAATAGAACCCTTTGAATAAGAACCCTATAAGTTTGATTGTGAATGCAGTAGTTAAAAATAGGGAGTCCTGTACTAAAAGAGGATATTACTGAGTTGAAATGTTTTAATACAAAATACTTCAAGTGTCTATTTACCCTAAATTGTTAATGATCTGAGATGGTGGAGCAGGCTCGAATGGCCTACTCCGTTTCCTATGTTCCTATGATCTGAGATATTCTTTCTTAGTCTACTTTTCCACTTAGTTGATGTCATGTTAAGTTTCTGTTTTTGTCCTTTTTAAAAAAAAACTACTCATCTTCACAGAAATGAAAACCAAAAACCTGTTTACCTCTACTCTAGTACCAGAATTCCCAAATAACACTACTATATTACAAACATTCATTATAGTACTACTGGCACAGATTTGACTAAGATATTCTGTTCGTGTATGCAAACAGTAAAGGGCTAAACTTGAAAATAGAACCAAAAGGTGGTAATCTCCAGATTAATGCCGAGCCTCAAACAAATTAGCATGAGGGTGAAGCAAGTTAAAGATTTAAATATGTGACTCTAAGATTTATGTAGGAGAACTGTATTTCAAATATTTGGAGCACTGGCTCCAGGAATTGGCAAAGAAGCACTTGTTCTTTCCTGTGTTCTTCACTTGAATTGTGCTAGGATTAATGTTTTGGTTAATTGAATAGCTAGGGCTGATGTTTTAAAACAACTATATAATTGGTGGGAGGTTGGGGAGAAAATGATTGAAATTGGTTGACGTGTATTATTTTCAAAGAGACAGACTGGGGCAAGAGAACTTGGAATTGATCTGGGTCTTTTGACGTAAAGAGTACAATAGGAAGAACAGTATACAGACATGAGTACACTAGCAAATGGGGCCAGAATAGGGAAAAATATAAACACTTAAAATTCTCTCTAACTGAAGGTACACAGCGTTTGTGTTAGAAGTGGTGAAATTGTGGCTCAAATGGAAGTAAATTGGTGTGATCTGATGGCTGTTGGAGAAATGTGGTTGCAAGGTGATCTAGGCTGAGAATTGATTATCTAGGGGTTATTTGACATTTTGGAAGGGTAAAGAGGAAGGAAGAGAAGGTGAGGTAACTCTGCTAATAAAAGATGACATTAGTGCAGCAATGAGAAATAATCTTGGCTCAGAAGGCCAACAAATGGAATTAGTTTGGTTGGAGATGAGAAATAGGAAGGGAAGAAGTTCTAAGCATGATGCATCCTAATATTTTCTGCGGTTTGGTATCAAGATTCTTCTGAGAATGCTACTTTGAAGGACCTTGGGAAACTTTACCAAGTAAAACATGCTACATAAACTAGTACTGTAACAAATTATCAAAATGACCCCATGTTGGAAGAATGGCATTTGATTATACAATTGTTCTTTTCAGGAAAAGCACCATCCTGATGCTCTTAAGCATGAGGGAGAAAAGCTGAAGCCTTCTGAATGGAAAGAATTTGTCTTCAAAAAAGCACTTGAAATTGAAAAATTGGATGGAAGAGGGAAGGTGACTGTAAGTACAAGTCTGTTTGTAGGTTGTTTACTTATAAATTATCCTGGTATATTCAAGCATTCTAAATGGTCTAAATATTCCAGTCTCTGAATCATAACAAACTGGGTGCACAACAGAAGATGTGTGTCAGGACTCTGTAGCAGTCCTGATGCACAAACTTGTGTGAGAAATACCCAGGAAGTCTAAACTGCCAGTGGTAAATTACCTTGTTCCCTGGGCCCCATGCAAATGTCTCAGATTCTGAAGTAAGAGACAGAATAGCAACATTTACCTGGATAACACCTGTTTAAACAAGTTAAAACTTGGTCTCGTAGCCCACCAACGAGGTTGCTTCCCCCCGACCACCAATTAGATCATCATTTCTCCTTAAACAGACCAACTCTTGGCCAGATCCATTGATGCCCTGCTGTTTTGAGCCCCCCTGACTCCACCCCCCCCCTTAACCCCCCCCACCCCCAATCCTGTGATCATCTGATATGACACTGAATCAAACCAACAGTCTCTTGCCCACTTCATCCATTTACTAACCCAACTTGATTCCTGCATTGAGTGTGATTTCCTGGATACTGTTTCAGATGTCCGATCTTTTTAAATGTAACCAAGTAAATGAATAATTTATCTGACAGATTGACGCAGTGGTTCGATCTATGATTTGGGTGGTTGAGTGTTTATACTAAGCTTTTTCTTGAGTTTCCCTTGAGTTGCAGCCAGGAACAAGGGGACTATTTCACAAGCCATGCTGGTGATGTTTGATTTGCAGCTGTCCAGTTATTTTACCAATCTACTTTCATTGTTGTGATGCTGTGGTGCTTTGCATGATTTCTCATGTGATCAGGGCCTACTTACATTTCTCTTCTATTGATGTCATATCTTGAGAGGAATCATATATTTGACTGCCAAGTTTTGCCCATATTTCTTTATCCAGTTGGCGCACTAAAACCCAGGCAACACTGCATGTATCTATAATAAGCTACACAAAATCATGAGATCTGGCATCATATTAGTATGTCTTTCAGCCCATCTGGCTTGTGCTCTACCTGAAGTAATAGCTTATTTTTTGAAGTGCAGTACATGTTTTATGATCAAAACAGATACTATGGATATTTGAACAGATGTCTGAAAATCAACGGTTTTCTTTCTTTGTCTCCTGCCACCTTCATATCCATGTTATCATTGTCCCTTTATTCCACTGGCTTCAACATTCCTGTTACGTGAGCCAGGAGCAAGTGCCTTGGGAGTCCCTGTACAGCACTTCTTCTGTGTTACACTCAGCAACCTTTTTTTGTTATTCCATCAGAAAACTTCAAAACAATTACCTGGCCTGTCTTTTTCAAAAAAAAACATCCCCTGGGTTCTTCAGTTAATTAACAGTGACCCTGGTTATTATTTCTAAATGTTTTTTCACAACTGAGGTCAAACTGACTGGCTGGATTTATCCCACTGTCATTTTTGGAACACTATTTCAACACTGCTTCATATCTAAGGCGGATTGGAAGATGATGTCCACTTGCTGTTCAGTTTCTACCTTTATTCTCCTCAACATTCTGAGGTGCATCCCATCCCATGTGATGACTTGTCAACTTTGTTTTACTCCCCCTCCCAATTTTTAGCCCATCCAGCATGTTAACTGTTTTATCGTCACTGTGGAAGCATCCTCTTCCTTCGAAAAAGCCTCAACTGTACAATTTTGTTTACCAACCATGGATCCTCTTCTCAAGGTCTAATCAGTCTCACACTACCTATGTGCCTATAATCCCTTTTTGGTTATATGTGTTTGTTTGTTTTATGTTACGCCTGTTGATATGATTCATTGGGGTGACGTGCTGGAAATCAATTTTCCTGGAATCACGACAAAAGTTAAATATTTTATAAAAGTACTCAACATTCCCCAGTTTATCTGTGTTTTAGATCTGGCTGAAGGAAAGCGCCAACCAGGTTTCTGAACTTATCAAATGTTGATATTTATCACACAAATAAATTCTAGCTACAGAAAAACAATTACACGGTCGACACATAACTATCCTAGCTAAAACTCTAAATCTCTCATCAAACTGCCTCCACATGCTTATACTCAGGCTAAAACATTGGTGGAGGAAAAGAATGGGGAGATGGCTGAATGATCCCAGTCCGTAGGGTTCACTAAGCTGGTCCTTTTGGCTTGCCAGGATCTGATGCTGCTCAATCCTCCTCCTCCAGGTACTTTTACTTGCTTGCAGGAAGTACAGAGCATCTGATGCATACTTACAAAGTTTCTGACTTAAAAGCCTGAGCTGACAGTAACTAGTAAGGGGGAATAAACTGGTTTTCTTTAGGCCAGGATAAACTGCAGAAACAAGAACAGCATTTTCCTTTCCAGAGATCCGATGGCTTCTGATCAAATATTCAAACCCACAAGCCGTTCAGCTTCCTGGGAGCTAATCATGTTGTAGTTGGCAGGCAGAAGGCTTGATAGTAATGGTGATGCTTTTTAACTGTGGTAGCAATTTGTTATAGATGTAACATGTTGAATGTATTCTGCTTGGTTTTGACTGAAGATCAACATGAAGATTGTCCTGTACCTCATTCAGTGACATCTGCTTGCCAATCCATGGTATGTCTTTATTATTAGATGAGATTGGGAGCATGTCCGAGCACCTGAAGTTATCTTTGATCCTGGTTGTGTTGGACTTCAAGGTCATAGCCTTGGATATTGATCAGTTATGTTGGAGCCATGGTGGTGCATTTGAAAATGGCTTCCTGCTAACCACTTCTAATTGCTTATGATCACTAGTAAAGTGTTTACCGAAGAGCTTTCTGTGGATTTGCTGTATCCCCAACACCAGTGCAGGGTGTATCTTTCAAAATTGGAATGATTTGTCTGGTCTGTCATGGGTGTATTATCCTGCAATAAACATGTACCAAGGTCTTTTTAAGACACATCTAGCTCCAGAATGGTAGGTTTAAACCTGTTATAATATGAGTGGTCATTTGTTAGTTGAGAGAACATATTTCAGGGTTTGTAAAATATGCAGGTATCGTCCTGATGCTGGAATGGGGATAGCATATCTTTAAATAGGAGATTCCAGAGAAGAGAGACTTTAGTCTCAAAACCTGGGATGTATGATGATAGGAAGCTGAAGAAACCAAGGCACCTCTGCAGGTCATCTTTATCCTGGGATACAGGTAACGTGTGTACATCCGTACAATCATAGATCATAGATTCCCTACAGTGTGGAGACAGGTGCTTCATCCAAACAGGTCCACACCGACCCTCAGAGCATCCCACCCAGACCCATCCCCCATAACCTACCTAACCTACAAATCCCTGAACACCATAGACAATTTAGCACGGCCAATCCACCTAGCCTGCACATCTTTGGATTGTGGGAGGAAACCGGAGCACCCGGAGGTGATGGGGAGATTGTGCAAACTCCACGTGGACAGTCGCCCAAGGGTGGAATCAAACCTGGTTTCCTGGCGCTGAGGCAGGCAAGCCTGATACTCCTGGATAGGTCTATGGAACTGAGAAACTTTATTTGGCTTGTATTAATTTGACACTTTGTTTTTAAAAAAGCAAGGCCATATTTCTTCGTGACCTCTGTAAGCTGATGGAGATTGCTGCTATGCTTGTGTTGGGCCTTTTCTAGGGCTTCAGTGTCATCAGCAATGCATTGACAAACTGGATGTTCTCTATGATTCGGTCCATGTGTTGTTGAATGATACCCTGATTCACAGATTGCATTTTACAATTATGGCAATCTGCAACACTCTCACACCGCTACCCCCCAGGCCTGAAACGTCAGCCTCCCTGCTCCTCTGATGCTGCTTGGCCTGCTGTGTTCATCCAGCTCTACACCTTGTTTTTTCTGGTATTGTGTTGGTTCTTGTAATAGGATCACTCAGGTGGCATTCTTACAGAGAACAGGTATTGGAAGGTGTATTCACTAAGCAAATCTTTACATTACAGCTCTATTACAATAATTAGAGTCATAGAGATGTACAGCATAGAAACAGACTCTTCGGTCCAACTTTGTCCATGTCGACCAGATATCCTAAACTTGTTCAGATTCATAATGTATAAGAAAAAGTGAAATGTTCCTATCGTTGAATCCCTGTAGGACAATATTGTGTACTAATTTCCAGTCTGAAAAATAACTAAATACTACTATTCATTACAATCAGTCTCCAAACTACTGTCATGCTGGCACTCCCCCTTTCATCCCTTCAATTTTGAAGTAAATTTCTCTAACTTGCCTATTTATGTGGTGTTATCTAAACACCTTTGAACGTCCATGTGCACAAAATCAATATTCTTTTTCCGCGTCAAATAACTAAGGTAAAAGATGTAATTTATTATGTTGGCAGCATGAATAAATATACATTGACATTTACCATGTTAATTGTTTGCTCTTCAAAAGTCCCAAATAATCTGCTTTGAGTTATTGTGCTGTATCACTCTTAAAGGCTGCAAGTTCTTCACTGTGGTGGTTTGCATTTTGTTCACAGCATGTAGCACCAAGGGGATCTGTGATGCCACTTTTCAGTGCAAATTTATTATTAAACTTTTTTGCTAGTTCTTTTATTTATTCTCAAATGAAAAACTTTTTATTAACTAAATGCAGTATCCAAAATGGTGTTTATTCAGACTGTTACTTTTGAACACAGCTGATATTTTAAATGGAATATTTGTGAAATCCTTGATATTAAAGTGCTAAATTCTGTGCGTTAGTGGAGGAGCAGGGGAAAGTACATATTTTGGAGGATATAATTTAATATAGTAAAAACTTTAAATATCTTAAAGACTTGTCAGATAAATTTCATTCGTACTTAAGGGTTTTCTGACTTAAGTTACTAATTGTATTTATAAATTTTAGGTTGTCTTAGAGAAAAGTGATGCAAAGAGTATTGAAAAAACTGCTGTAAAGAGAATTGCAGAAACATGTAAGTTGCTGAATTATTTGAGGAAATTATCTAAATTGTGCATAAATAATTGAGTTTTTTTGATCCTGTTTGCACAACAAGCACTGTCCATCCAACCAGTTATTGTTATCTATCCCTTTCTGAATGAAAATTTGTCCAGGACTTTAATTGTTGAAGACTTTACACAAAGAATCAAGTTCCTATAAAATGTCCTATTTTCTTTTGATATTCTTCAAATATTGAACTTTTTTTAGGCATAATTGGAATTTATGCTGTAATCCCTTTAGTTCAGAACGCTTAGGACCAATTAATTTCTGAATTTTAAAATGCCATTGGAATGCTTAACCACAAATTTGTGAACTGGAAAACATACTCATCAATAATAACTGCTTAAAACAGTGACAAAATATTATAATGCTGTAATAGAACATATTTTCTTCATCCAATTGCTGTATGTTTCTGCTTCTGAAGTGCTGTACTAAATTGATACTGAGTTGCTTGGCTCTGATCAAGAGATTTCTCAACAATTTTTGTTTTCTCTTAATGATTTCTGGACTGGAAAAGTTATGGTGTACATAGCTAATTAAATAGTGTCGGTTGGCATTCAAAATTAGGTTTGAAAATCATTTTGTGGTCATGGAAAAAGACTACTTGCTCAGTCAATGGATTTTGAATTGAAATGAGTTTTGGCACCAGTTTGAATTTTAGAGCTCCTAGAATGCGCATGAGCCATTGGAAATTATTTACGGGTGTTGTATTCAACTGACTTTTTTTATCTTCATTCGTTGTTGTAAAGCGGAGGATAACCCCACTCTGAGAAGTAAAACCAAAACACCCAAAGAAGAGCACCTCACCCTATAATCTGTAAAAGGAGTGTAAAAAGTGGTGTAACCTGCCTTTCAGCAACTTCTACTGGTTAAATAAAGTAAATCCCTGACACACACTCTACAATTAACAAGTAACAATTTATTTATGTAACTATAACAGTGAGCAAATCAACTAAACAATTAACAAACCAAATATATCCCATCTAACTACTAAATATTCCCAAGTAAAACAATTCTAATGGTATGCTGTTCCAATAAATACAACTCCCTCTCATATTAAAGAAATAATTTAGTTTCAAAATTATAGCCTGGTTACATGTCTTCTGGAATGTTCTGTGCCTTCTCCGTCGATTCGTCTGTTAGGAATACCTTTGCCTTCTGTCAGGAATGTTAACTAGTTGTGCTGTGGGTACCTTTGTTAATCCGATGGAGCTTTCTCTAATACTTAGAAGAGACTGTGAGTGCCAGTGATTCTCTCTTGAGAACTGAGGGCTGTTGGCTCTGTCGGATGGCTCTTCTGCTTTGTCCAACTGCCTCCTTTTCCTCTTGATGACATACCAATATTTCTTTCAGTAGGGTTGGTCCTATGTTGTCAGAACCATCAGATTTAAATTTAATTGATTTGGGATAAATCGGTGCCTGGTTCAAATTGATTGGCTAAATTCAAAACTTCTTGTCTTGGTAAAAACTGCTGCTTGGCCTGCTAACTGTATGGCCTTTTGATATAAATGTTTCAATTTGAGTGCTCTGTGTACTTGCAAACTTTCAAGCTGCTTCTCACCGACATCCATTTTAAATCTGAGCACAGAAGAAGCATGTCATCTTTTCAAGGGACCACGCAATGCTTTCTCCCACCGCCCCCCCCCCCCGCCCCCAGCATTTTACAAACACTAAATTCTAATTTCCTGCGTCCCACTCCACAAGTACTCTACCCAACTTTGCAACACTCCTCCTTCTCATTTGCCTCTATTTTCTTCCATACAAACAGAAATTAGAAGCAAGACTAGACGATTAATCATGTTAAGCCCAATTCACATTTCAGTAAGATAATCACTGATTTGATTACTCCACATACCAACCTACCCCAATAAGCAAGGAAGTGAAAAGTTATAAAGAATCCGTCATCTGCCTTGAAAATATTCATTATTTTTTCCACTACCTTTGGAGGACGAAGTTTTGAAAGGCACTCAACCGCCTGAGAAAAAAATTCGCCTTGTTTCTCTCAAATGAGCAACTCGTTAATTTAAAACCTAGTTCTATATTTTCCCATAAAAGGAAACATGTACTGATTTTATATTTCTCACTTTTCCACCCATCTCTCAAGTCTATTGATAGTTTTCTGCAACTTCCTTCCTCCCTAAAATCCCCACTACCAACTCCATATTATCGGCAATCACCTTTGTCATGCTGCTTACATAGAACATAGAACATTACAGCACAGTACAGGCCCTTCGGCCGTCGATGGTTTCACAGGTTGGTGCAACAATCTGAAGCCCATCTAACCTACACTATTCCATTATCATCCATATGTTTATCCAATGACTATTTAAATGCCCTTAAAGTTAGCGAGTCTACTACTGTTGCAGGCAGGGCATTCCACGCCCTTACTACTCTCCGAGTAAAGAACCTATCTCTGACATCTGTCCTATATCTATCACCCCTCAATTTAAAGCTATGTCCCCTCGTGCTAGCCATCACCATCCGAGGAAAAAGGCTCTCGCAGTCCACCCTATCTAATCCTCTGATCATCTTGTATGTCTCTATTAAGTCACCTCTTAACTTTCTTCTCTCTAACGAAAACAGCCTCAAGTCCCTCAGCCTTTCCTCATTAAGACCTTCCCTCCATACCAGCATTTAAGTCTAAGTCATTGGCATATGCCATGAACAGCAAGAAGCCTGGTACTGAACCTTGCGGAACCCGACTGAAAACAGCCTTCTCTCAAAAACCATTGTCAACCATTATCATATGCTTCTAGTCACTGAGTCAGTTTTGGATCTGACTTGCCATTTTCCTTTGATCCCATGAGCTGTTAATTTTCTGATTGTTTGCTATTATGAGACCTTGTCAGAATCTACGCAGATCACATCAGAATCACTGCTTATTAATCCACTTGTTTCCTCAAAACTTTAAATATAGTGAGGTTTCTACCACTTAAGGTGTTTTCAGACAGTGAGTTCCTGATCCTTATCATTCTCCAGATGGAAACCTTCTCCATAACTCCTCCCTAATCTTCCTACAATTTATATTCAAGATAGACTTGGAGTAGGGCATCTTGAGTTACGCTGTACCATTTGAAGCTGGAGAAGATCCATTGTTCATGAATATTTCAGACTGAAGGATGAAAACCTAGAAAAAAGTCCACTCTGACAGATCCTATCGATTTCAAAATAGTGAAGGAGCAAATGATGATTATGATTGTGATTCTCTGCAGCCCAGTACTTTTTGTTAAGAGTTTTACTGAAGTTCTTTTATTTTTTTCAGCTGCTGTGGAACCAGAATGTAAAGTGCAGAAATCTGAAGAGACTTCAAGTATGTTTATTAATTTTCCCAAAGTGAAGTTCTGTTACTGTGGATCATGCCATCATTTCCTTTAGTCTGGATCACCACACTTCTTGGGGGAAAAAAAAATTCCTACACCATGTGTGAATGTCACTTACTAAACCACCATTTGGTATCCATCCCTAATTGCCCTTGAGAAGGTAGTGAGCCACCTTTTTGAACCATGGCAGTACATGTGGTGTGTGTACATGCACAGTAATATTAGTAAGAGAGTTCCAAGATTTTGACCCAATGATACTGAAAGAATGATGTGGTTACAAGCCAATATGTGGTGCGTGGCTTGGAGGGGAAATTGCAGGTGATGATGTTCCCATACTCCTGCTGCCTTTGTCCTTTTAAAGTTGTAGAGGTTTTGGGTTTGGACAGTGCTGTTCAAGAAATTTTGGTGAGTTGCTGAAGTGCACCTTGTAGATAGCAGTGTTTTCTCTATGCACTACCCACATGTGTTTGCTCTGGCTGCAGCCAGTGTCCATTATACTTGCCTGTTCTCCCTGACCTTTCTGTAGTGTAAGATATGCAATCATGTCTTCACTGTCTCTTCAGTCCCCCACAATTGCTTCTGGTTGCCTGAGTTCTGTACCTTGTCTCCCTATCTAAGTGATGCTGCTCAATGACACCATTAATGAAATTGGGCTCTGCTTCTATGAATGTTGATATGCCCAGCTGTACATCTCGACCCTTGTGATTTTCAGAATCACCTATGTGTAGTCAAATTGTTAAGCTCATGCATAACTTGTTGGGCGGAATATTTTTCTGGTTGAAAATTTTCTGCCAGTTTAAAAATAAACTGCACATTCTTGACCAATGGCCAGCACAATTTAGGAATTATGTGGGAGTCCTTTAAAAGGGGCCAGAAGAGACCTAGCTCTGTGATTCAGGGATGGGGGTTGTTAGCTCCAAGGTTTGGTTGACAAAGCTAGAGTTGTTGCCTTGAATCAAAAGAGATTGAGGGGAATTTTGACAGAATATGGCAGGTATGGAGAAGACAGACAAAAGAAAGAATGTTTTCATTAGCTGATTCCATAATTACCAGGGGAACAAATTTTAAGATTTTGAGAGAGAATTCTGGCTGGTATAAGGAAGTTATAATGAGCTGGAATTTGCTATCTGTGGGAGAAAAGAAAGCAGAAACAATGAATGAATTTAAAAGGAAATTGGATGGGCACTTGAGGGGAAATAAACTTGCAGGGCCATGGGGAATGAGACTGACTGGATTATCTGAGTGACTCTATTTTACATGGAATCTCTGGGTTGAGTGATCTCCTGTATAGGTTCTAGTATTCTGCTGATTTAGTGTGTCTCTTGTAATTTTTATCACTGGAATTTCAATGCACGTTGGAACTATGTCTTAAAAGTTCCAAACTGGCTAATATTTAGACATCCACAGCTCTTTAGATATCTGTGAAGGTATCCTAGAAAAGAGTTTCTAGACTTCTGGGATTTGAACTAAAATTTATTAAATTCGTGGGATATGAACATTGCTGGCTGGTCCAGCATTTATTGACCACCTAATTTCCACTTGAACTGACTGGTTTGCTAGTGCCAGTTCAGAGGGCATTTAAGAGTCAACCACTTTGTTACGGGTCTGGAGTTGCGTGTAGGGCAGCCCAGGTAAGGTAAAGGAGCTTAATGAACCAGAGGAGTTTGTAACAACAATCAACAGTGGTTACTCAGTTTGCCAGTAAGCCTTTTTTTGTTTTGATTCCAGATTTTCATTGACTCAGATTTTACCATCTGCTATGGTGGGATTCAAACTCATGTCTCAGAGCATTAACCTGGGTCTTTGGATTACTAGCCCTATTCCACTGCTGCCTCCTAACATAACTGATCAATTGAGTCAGTTCAAAATTAGATTAGTTCCTCCATTAAACTTTGCAAGCAACTGACAGGGCTTTGGCAGCACTTGTACCAAATTGAGCTTAGTTCAAAATCCTTATGCTTTAAAACTCATTATTGCTGCTGACCAAAGCAATCTCTGCTAGAAATACGGATGCACGTTTTCATAGAGAAACTGTTGTCACCCTATTAATGATTGTGATCAAGCTTGATAATTTAATCTTTTTCCTTACTTCTCTAATAATGTGAACTATAATTATTGTCATGGATTTCATATTTTGAACACTACATCATTATCAGTATTCTTTGAATTTGTTTTGAGAATTTTCTGTTCTTCCCCTAATCGCTTTGCTTTCTGTTGTAACATAGTATCAATTGCATTAGGTATCCTAATATAATTTATTTTAAGTGAACATTGTTTATGCAGCTTAGATGGTATTTGGTGGCATGCTTTTTTTTATTGTGCATTCAACAGAGCCAAATCTGTCTACTCTACCGGATAATGCACTAATTTTCTAGCAGATTGTCTTGTAGCTATAATTGAAGTTTGTGCATTATTGGTGTCTATTTTCATCTTTTTGTTTTAAACTGGCATTGAAGCATTATCACATTTGTCCTACCATTTTATATTTCAGCTGCTGAGAACACTAATGAGCAGTCTCCGCCTACCCCAGGTATCGTTATTGATATAATGAAGGAAGTCTCATTCCAAATTCTTTCTAGATTTTTGTTCTAAGTCACTTTCAGTAATATTTTAGATGAAACCATTTAGCTGTGTTATTGATGTCACCCAGGGGTTCAATAGTCCATTGGTTGCTGGAGATTGGATTGGTGGGGGTATTTTGAAAGAACCCCTCTAATTGAATTTCACTGTTGACATTATTAGTGGTCTATGCTGTTTCTCTAGTTTTAGTGTGTGGGGGCAGGATTTTAATGCTAACGGAAAACTACATATTTTCCAAACTGCTTTTGATGTTCATGTAGAAATCAGTTCATGTATGGATTACATTGGTACATATTGAATAGATTTGACCTATATTGTCATTTACAGGATTGTTTACTTGGTAAAATGCAATTATCTTTCTACAGTTTTACCATACTAGGTGTTGCTCAAACAAACAAAAGTCTTTTTTTTTCAGTCCTATAACTATTTCAACACTTCTCTTACACATCTTTTATACTTGCTTTCCACTGTCCTCTTTTTAAATTTCTTGCATTGTCCATTTGAGTACTTGTTGTTTGTGTTCTTTGTCTCTATCTAAATATCAGCCTCTTGCTCTTATCAAAATGTTTATGCTGCTCCACCTTCCTCTTGCAATTCTCTTAATCGATGCCTCATACATGCTTCTCCACTGATATACTGCATTTGTATATCTTACCTTAAAGACGAAGAAATAAAGGAAAGTGAGAACTGGTCAGGGATGTACCTTTATCCAGATGGTCTTCCTATCAATTTTCCAGTGGATTCAAAGCCATACCCTCGACCAGTACTGGCACGTCAAGAAGCCACGGCAGCACAAGGAGGTGAGGAAAACAAAGTTAAGATGGTACCAAACATTGAAGAACAAAAGCTGCAGGCTTGGGGTTAGTAGTAGAAATTTGACGCATTGAGATGGGCAATGTTTTGGCTACTACTGGAGAAGTCTGTGCTATCTGTTTTGTACATACATTTAGAACATAGAACCGTACATCACAGGACCAGGCCCTTCAGCCCACCATGCCTGTGCTGACTATGATACCATTCTGAACTTATTCCATCTGCCTGCACATGGTCTGTAACCCTCTATTCCATGCCTGTTCATGTGCCTGTGTAAATGCCATTGCTATTCTATCTGCTGCTTCTACCTCCCCTGGTATTGCATCCCAGGCACCTGCTGCTATCTTTTTAAAAGACTTGCCTCACAAATTTCCTTTAAACTTTCTCTCCTCACCTTAAAGATTTGCTCCCTAGTATTTGATATTTCCACCCTCGGAAAAAGACCTTGATTATCCACCCTGTCCGTGCTTCTTATAATTTTATTTACTTCTATGAGGTTCTATGAAGTCACCTCTCAGCCTTCAGTGCTCTGGTGAAAACAATCCAGGTTTGTCCAACCTCTCTTTATAGCTAATACACTCCTGGTAAATCTCTTTCGCACTTAACCCTATAATGTGGCAACACTATATGCCAGTTTTTGATTTATCTTGGCATAAATTATTGTCAAGTACAATGAGACATATCAGGAAGAATGAGAGGTTCTATTTAGATTGATTGATTTATTTTTGTGGAATCATAACAAAATACTCTGCTAGGTACCCTTTACAGCATTCTGCTGTACTTTGCTAGTGTTGACCAGCTTGATGGAACTGCATCATCTTGTTCCATTCTTACTTTTTGACTATAATTAGAAATGTCATTTACAATGGTTTGTCCTCATTCTGTCTGACTACCTCTGGTGGCCCTAATGATCTATCCTTGGCTCCTCCTAATTCTCACCTATGTGATCCTGGTGACATCCTCTAAGATACACTTGTACCAATTTCGATATACATACTGAACATACCCAGTTCTACCTCACCACCAAACTTCTAAGACCCCTCCATTGTCTCAGCTTGATCGATATCCAGTTCTGAATGAGCAGAGATTTCCTTCATTTAAATTTTGGGACAGCCAAATCATTGCCTTTGGTCCCTGCCAGAAACTTCATTCCCTAGCTACTAACTCCATTCCCATTCCTTCTAACTGTCTGAGGCTAAACCAGACTCATTGCAGCCTTGATGTCATTTAGGACACTGAAATTAATTTGCAACACTTTTGTGCCACTACTAAACCTGCCTGCTTCCATCTCCATAACATTGGTTGACCATCACTTGCTCAGCTAAATGCTGAAGCCTTTGCTGTCAACAAATATGACTCTTCCAAAGGATTCCCGGTCAGCCTTCTACCTTATTAATTATTAGGAGGATAGAGTACAAGAGCAAGGCTCATGTTAGGCATCAGGTGAATTATGTGCAGTTCTGGGCACGAATTTTAAGAAGGATGTGAACATTTTGGACCGTGTGCAAAAATGTTTTACAAGAATGGATCCAGGAATGAGGAATTTCAGTTATCAGGATAGATTGAAGGAGTTGGGCCTGTTTTCCTTGGAGAGAAGTAGGCTAAGAGGACGTCTGATAAAAGTTTTCAAAATCATGTGCATGCTTCTTAGAATAAATAGTGAGAAATTGTTCCTGCTTGTAAAACGCTGAAGAACAAGAGAGCGTAGATTTAAAGTGGTGTGCCAAAGAAACAAAGGTGAAGCAAGGAAAAGACTTTTCACTTAACATGTAGTTAGGGTATGGAATGCGCTGCCTAGTTGTGTGGTGGAGGCAGGTTCAATTGAGGCGTCCCACAGGGCATTGGATGATTATTTTTATCCAAATAATGTACAACAGTATGAGGAAAATGCAGGAGATTTGCATTCTGTGATGATGTTCATTTAACGAGCTGGTAAAGGCACAATGGGCTGAATGGCCTCTTACACCATAACAATTTTGTGATTTTACCCTTGAAGTCATCAACATCTCAACTGCCCACGTCCTAATTTATACCAAGTCCTGTTCACCCATTACTGATGTTGCTGCTTTATATTGATTTTGATTTTAAACCACTCCTCCTTGTTTTCAAACACCTATATTATTCTCCAATCCCCACATCCCTATTAAGAAGTCCGTGCCAGTCTAATTCTGGCCTCTAAGCTTCCTCAATTTTAATCCCTTCACTCTTGCTGACCATGCCTTCAGCTTCCTTGACTTCAGCTTTGGAGTTCCATACAGAAACTTCTCCTTCTCTCCCTCACTTTCCTTCTCTAAGATGCTACCTGTTTAAGCAAGCATTTGATGATTTGTGTAATTATTACCACATGTTGTACCACTTGTGACTTGGTGTCGTATTTTGCATTTTAAACTCCTGGTAATTGCTTTGGAGTGTTTTATTATGCTAAGTAGTGCAATGATTGACTGTTTTGCCATTGAGTCGAGTCTGAAAAACAACTAATAAATGCTTTGCACTATCTGTCAAACATTTCCTATAAAATGGCAAGAAATGTGAGCATTTCACAATTGTAATAATTATCATTGAATCATGTTATAAAATTCTTAATGTATTACTAAAAAACTTCAACATAATTGGTTCAATACAACCTATATGATCATATACAGGGAAGGTCCCGAGCTTGACCTCTGGTGATTCCATAGTTAGTTGATATCTGTTCAGGCAATAGAAGGACAATGCTATTGATATTAGTGTCCCCATGTTTGGGAAATTGCAACTTGGTCTCTGTAGCTGATAACTTTTCAGCAGGAGTCACTGGATAGTAATTTCAGTTTAGGTTGAGCTGAATGATGACCTGTGAAATTGCTAACAACTTTCTAGGCTTGTGGATGAAGAAAGGCTTGTTAAATCTGGAACGTAAATCTAGACCATAATATGACTTCTACCTGGTATGAATCAGCACTTCAAAGAGAAGAACAGAGATAGTTGGTGCAGGCTAGGTGAAGGTTAAGAATCGAAATGTTAGCGCCTCATTCTGTTTTATCTAATTTTGGATTCCTTTTTAGCAACTTCAGCAGTTGATGACCTGTTAAGTTCTATAGGATCAAAAATTTTGGAAGATTACATCACAAATTTTGATTTTGAGGAAACTATAATAGGTATGTATTTTTCCTTGTTTTCAGCATGCATACTTTAACTCTGTTTTTCCATGATTTGCTGGTAGTTTGTAGTTTTGTAAATATACCTTTAAAAAAGTTGCAAATAAAGCATTCTTTGTTAAACTGTATGGAGGCATTAAATAATTAACTTTTCTGCTGATGTAAGTCAGTTGACATAAATCGTAGAATCATATTTTTAGGCAGCAAAAGTGGTCCTTTGGCCCAACCCGTCTGGCTTGTTGTCTTACATGCTGTGGGGTTTGAAGTATTCATCTGAATAGGTCTGAAATGTCTTGAGGGTTCCTACTCTACCAATCTTTTAGGTAGTGAGTTCCAGACACCCAGAATGCTTCAAGTATCTATAGATGTGCACACTAAGTTCCCTCTCCTCCTCTAGTTCCTAGGATTTTACCTTTCAACATGTACTTTCTTGCCTTGCTAGTTCTCCTAAGAATTCTCTCAAAATTCTCTGTCCCCGAGATCGATAAGTGTTTGGTCATTATGTTCAAGTTGAAGATCGACAGATTTTTTGGAAGCTGACAGAACTAAGTGATGTGGGGATAGTGTACGGAGGTGTAGTTGATGTTGAAGATTAGTCATAATTGTATTGAGTGGCCTTTTGCTGCTATTGATTTTAAACAAAGAATAAAGGCTTTATGTAAAGTAACTATTTTCAAAGGATCAAGGATAAATAATCAGGCACAGTTTTAAACTAGACCACACAGCAAAAGAACCAGAGGTGAAATGAGAAAAAAATGTTTTTACGCAATGAATGGTTCACATTGAGTGTACTACCTGAAAGGTTGGTAGAAACAGATTCACTAATAGCTCTCGAAAGAGAAAAGGATAAATACTTAAAGGAAATAAATTTACAGGGAAGCAGGACTAACTGGATTTCTCTTCAATACAACCAATGCAAAGGTTGAATGGCTATTTCCTATGTAACACTATTTTATAATTTGTGTGTTATCTAAAACTTTTCTTAAGTTTAATTATTTAGAGGGCCATATAATGGTAGAAAATTGTGTGTAAATAAAATTTAAGGAGTAGGTAATGCTGTAAAAAGATGACTATTCTATAAGTCCTTTGCAAGGCTAAAATGACATCTGTTTATTATTAGTCTTAGGTAAAGTTGAAGTGACTGATAAAAATGCAGAGAAAGAAAACCCAAGGCTCAAGTGACAGAGTAAACCTGCACTTTTATTTCCGATTGATTGCTAAATAGGAAGTTACATAATCTGTTTGTGAGGAGGGATTCCCCATTATCACATCCCACAATGCCATTTTTTTAAATTTCAACTTACAGCATCGCTGAGTGGGAGATGCTGACATGGGATGGTACCACAGATTTGTGTTATCGATAGATGGGTGGGCTCTGGAGCTTGTAGATGTAGGCTTATGAAGACACATCCTAGAGATTGCAAGATAGGTATGACAATGTCTTTTGCCCCTGGTGGATGCAGTCAATCAGGCTTTGTGACTGATGACTATGGTGGTACTGCACAAATTACATTATGTAGTGATAGCAAGAACTGCAGATGCTGAAGTCAGAGTCAGCATAGTGTGGAGTTGGAGGAACACAGCAGGCCAGGCAGCAACATTTCCTGTTCCTCTGCTGCCTGATCTGCTGTGTTCCTCCAGCTCCACGCTGTGTTCACATTGTGTTTTACATGGTGCTACATAATCTGCTATAATACAAGTGCTTCTGAAAAGTTTTGTAGCAATTATAAAACTATGCCATTGAGTTTGCTGTTACAAATCTATTTTTGAGATTGCACATTCATCCACCAAAATGAAATATTGTTGAAAAGAAAGATTTGCAGCAGGAGCTTTTTCTTTTGCACATATCAAGAAAAATACAACTTCCATAAATCACAACTATTTGATATGTATCTGTAGTTCAGTGCTAGTTATGTAGGCAGAATGCTCCAGTGGATATGGATGTTATTTCAAAATGGTGTGGTCCCATTAATAAAAGTTGGGAAAAGTTGCTTTGATGACATGACTTATTTTTGAATAAGATAATAAGGCGTGGCTCCCTTGTTTCAAGTGGGGTTTACATGCATATGCAACAAAAGTCTTTTTCTACACCATTAATCCCTTTAAATTATCTCTCTCAGGCTTAAACCTAGGGTCTGAGATCTTACAACAGGGATAAACTTAAAATGGAGGTGTTCTGAGGAAAGGTCACTGGACCTGAAACATTCTCTCCACAGGTGCAGCAAGACCTGTTGAGGTTTTCCAGCAATTTTTGTTTTTATTTCTGATTTCCAGCATCTGCAGTTCTTTCGGTTTTTATGGTGAACTTACAAAACTTGGGTTGATGTCAAGTTGTTTGGCTATGTTGTTAGATCAAAATAGAAAGTATGTAGAAAGCATAAAAATATTCAACCTGTATGAAATATATCTTTACTAATTCAATGTTTTTCAAATTTCTCTTTTTTTTTACTTCGTTACCCATGAGCAAAATCCCCACATTGTGGACATTCTAGTGCTGTATGCCCAAATTTGTTTGGAATTCAATCCTAAACTCTTAACATTTCTTGGGCTGATGGAGTAATGATATTTATTTATTTATATCTGCAGGGTTGGATTTTGTGACTGAATACCATTATAGAGGAAAGGATGAACCCTTATATTACTGTGAACTGTGCACTTGCGAATTGCCTCTTCAATGTGTTCTGGCACATATCTTTGGACTTAAGCACAAGATGCGTTATGTAGTATGTATACATTGTCTAAATATGCCATGTTTTAAATATATTTACTTCAGAAACATCAGGGGAGATGATGGCTAGTGATCACTCGCCAAAAGTGAACTAATTAAAATATTCATATGGAGGACAGAAATTAACTCGTTAAGAATTAGTTCTTACTGAGAGTTTCAGCATTTTCCTGAGACACACAAGGGTTCACACTATCATGTGTTGCAATTTTATCAGCAAAGACATCACCACCTACAAACAGAAGTCACAGTGACTAACATTATTGCTGGACTGTTAATGTAGAGAAGCTGGTAATGTTCTGGGGACCTGTGTTTAAATCTCGCCACGGTGGATAGTTGAAATTGAATTCAATAAAAAAATCTGGAATTATGAGTCTAAAAATGACCATGAATTCATTGTCGGTTGCCAGAGAAACCCATCTGATTCATTAATGTCCTTTAGGGCTGGAAACTGCCACCCTTAACATGGTCTGGCCTATGTGTGGCTGACCCACAGCAATGTGGCTGACTCTTAACTGCCCTCAGGACAATTAGGGATGAGGAATAAATGTTGGCCCAGCCTGCGATGCCCACATCCCATGAATGAATAAAAGAAATTATTTGTACAGTTGACTTCAAGAATATCATCTTAGTTTGAGTTGTTCAAACATATCGTGATTACCGCATTGCATTATTGAGATGATGGTGTAGACCATCACTAAGCTAGACTGCCAAGAAATGTTAGGGTACTGTGGCAGGAATCTCAGAAAATGATTGGATATGGTCACCTTCATGAAATTATGCTTGAATGTTGTTTATTTACTCGCATCATGGATGTATTTGAGAAGGAAAATCATGACAAGTTTATTATTTTAAAAGAAATTGAATGAATAATTGAATAAATATTGATTCTGTCTTGCTTGCAATACATATTAATCATTTCCACTTGGTTACTGTATATGTTTTAGTTCTGTATTTCTTACGCCATTCTCACTCTTGGATTTTTAAAAAAAGAATTCTTGCAATGTGACTGTAGCATATTGCCATCCCTATTTGACCTTTGAAAAAGTGGTGGTGAGCTTTCTTCTTGACCCACAGCAATCCATGTGCTATAAGCATACCCATTGAGCAGGGTTTATCACTGTTAAGGGGGAAGTATCAGGATTTTGATTTAGCAGCTGTGAAGGAATAAAAACATGGTTCCATGCCAGGGTAGTGAGTGATTTGGATGGGGACTTAGAGATTGTGGTATTCCCATGTGCATACTATTTAAAAAAATTTTTTTTTTTTAAACATAGAATCCCTGCAGTGTGGAACAGGCCTTTCGGCCCAACAAGTCCACGCCAACCCTCAGAGCATCCCACCCTAACCCATCCCCCTACAACCCACCTAAGCTACACATCCATCCCTGAACACTACGGGCAATTTAGCATGGCCAATCCACCTAACTCACACATATTTGGATTGTGGGAGGAAGCCAGAGCACCAGGAGGAAACCCACGCAGACACGGGGAGAATGTGCAAACTCCACACAGGCATTCACCTAAGGGTGGAATCGAACCGGGGTCCCTGGCCCTGTGAGGCAGCAGTGCTAATCACTGAGCCACCGTGCCGCGTTATCCCCTAAGTGGCAGACCTCAAAATATGGAAGGTGCTGTTGAAGCATGCTTGACAAGTCACTGCTGTGCATCTTGTAGATACTAAACACTGCTTCCATTCTAGTCATGGAGTGGAGAGAGTAAATTTTCAAGTTGGTGGATGGGGTCCCAGTTAAGTAGGTTCTTTATGGTTAGTTCAAGCTTACGTTGTTGGTGCTGAACTCTCAAAGGCAAGTAGAGTGTGTTCCTGGCTTTTTTTAAAATTCACTCTTGGGGCATGGGCATTACTGCCTGGGCCAGCATTTATTGCTCATCCCTAGTTGTCCTTGAGAAGGTGGTAGTGAGCTGCTGCTTTGAACTGCTGCAGTCCACTTGCTGTAGTAGACCCATAATGCCATTTGGGTGGCAATTCCAGTATTTTGACCCAGCTGCAGTGAGGAGGCAACGATCTATTTCTAAGTCAGGAAGGTGAGCGGCTTGGAAGGGAAATTGCAGGTGGTAATGTTCCAATGTATCTGTTGCTCTTGTTGTTCTAAATGGAAGTGATTATAGGTTTAGAAGGTGCTGTCAAAGGATCTTTGGGGAATTTCTGAAGTGCATCTTATGGATAGCACACACTGCTGCTACTGAGTGTCAGTGGCGGATTGACTGTTTGTGGAAATATAGATAGTAAATGGACTTTGTGAAGTCAGGAGGTGAGTTACTTGCTATGGATTTCCCAGTCTCGGACCTATTCTTGTCACTATTAAGACTATTTGAGGTCACTTTTTGATCATTGGTAACCTCCAGGATATTGGTGGTGGACAGTTTATGATGGTAATGCTGTGAATGTCAAAGATAGGTGGTTAGATTGAGCCTTGATTTAAATAGTCATATCCTGGCATTTGTACGGTACAAATACCATTCATCAGTTCAAACTGAATGTGGCTCAGATTTTGCTGTATATGGGCATAGGTGGCTTCAGTATTCACTTCCAACTCTTCAATACATATATAGTGTCTGTGTCAAATGTCAGAAGTGTGATCGAATACTCTCCACTTGCCTGGATAATTGCAGCTCCTAAAACACAAGCTTGAATCCATCCAGAGCAAAGTTGCTGACTTTATCAACATCCCATTCAGCAAATTAAGCAGCCACTTTCACTGTCACTGGTGCATAGTGAAAGCACTGATTACTATCTACAGCAACCCATCAAACCTCCTTCAGCAGAACCTTTCAAACCCATCACCACCACCACCACCTACAGAGACAACAGATACGTGAGAATACCATACAAACAAGGAGCAAGAATATGCCACTCAACCCTTTGAGCCTGCTTTGCCATTCAATAAGATCATGGCAGATCTGATTTTAACTTCCAACGCTACATTCCTGCATAGCCTTGATAAGAACCTAGATGCCTCTGCCTTTAAAAAATTAAAAATTCTGCGTCTACTGCCTTTTGTGGAAGGGAATTCCAAAGACATTCAACCCTATGAGAGAAAAAAATGTTTCCTCAACTCTGCTTTGGCAACCCCTTTTAAACTATGTTCCCTAGTTCTAAATTCTCCCAACAGGAGGAAACACCCATTCCAGACTGACTCCTGGGTGGCAGGACTGACCTCTGAAGACAGAATGGATTCCTCTGAAATATATTTACCATATTTTAGTTGTGGGGAATCTTGTAGAACTGTGTACAATTCTAACAAAACTGGACAGGTTAAATGCTTGAAAGATATTCCTGTTGACTGGGGAGTCCAGAACCAGGAGTCGCAGTCTAATGATACAAGATGGGCCATTTGGGACTGAGCTGAAGAGAAATGTTTTCACCCAGCGAGTAGAATTCTCTGTCACAGAAAACAGTTGAGGCCAAAACATTGAATGTTTTCAAGAAGGAGATGGATAGATATAATTTTAGAGTTAAAGGGGTCAAAGGGTATAGGGCAAAAGCTGGAACAGGGTACTGAGTTGGATGATCAGCCATGATCATATTAAATGGTAGAGCCAGCTTAAACAGTTGAAATGCCTACTCCTGTTCTTATTTTTCTGTTTCCTATCCTTTCGGCATCCACCCAAGTCCTCTCAGGATCTTATATGTTTCAGTTAAGTTATCTCTGACTCTTCTAACCTCCGGGGTGATAATAAAATTAGTAGGCCTACCTGATCTAGCCTTTCCTTATAAGCAATTAGCTCATTCCAGATATTTTAGTCTAGTAAACCTTCTCTGACCTGCTCCTAGTGCATTAACATCCTTTGGTAAGTATGTTGACCAATACACCTGTAGACAATAGTTCAGATGTGGTCTCACTGATGCCCTGTATGACTGATGAAGCGTAACATCCTCACTCTTACATTAATTCCCCTCACATTAAGCTATAACATTTCATGAGCTTCGCCACCACGTGCATATTCCTACTGAACCAAATAACATCCTGGTTTGTTGAACGTGATGCGAGTAATTTGAGGTAACGAATTAAGAGTTTTGAACATTAATGCTTATTAGAATGAGGATGATTTTTCTCCCCCACCCTCCCCAACACTCCATCCCCAGGCATTCCTCTCATTGTATTATTACCTGGCATCACCACTATTTCTCTGCCAGTTTTGCAACTTGAGCATTTAGGTACTACTTCTGAATAAGAATAACAATCTTACATTTCAAGCAGCCTAGGTAAATGAGTTAGTTTTCCTGTTGGAGGAACTTAAAGCTGAAAGGTGAACAAATTATCAGTATGGTACTGTGTAGTCCAACAACTGAGCATAGTCAATATTAGTTTTTTTTAAACAACCGAAAGATGCTCAACCTTTGTGTTTCATCTTATTTGCCAGGGTCATTTGTGAGCCATTCTGGAATGTTCGTAACTATTGGTAATTTTCTATGCACGAGATATGTTTTATTCTTTTCCAGAAAAAGAGGCATCCTGAGATATTGAAATTGAATGCAGGAAAATATAAAACGATTGTCAAGAAGAAAGCAACAGAAATTGAAAAGACAGATGGAAGAGGAAGGGTTAGGGTAAGTATACATCTGAAGTGCTCATTATTAGGAGCAAATGAAATCCATGACAATAATAATAAGACTGACTCAATTAACTGCCTGACCACTATCTGAGGCTGAACTGTATTGTTCATAACCTCCATGTCCTTTTTAACCTTGTTTTTGGTGAGCTATGGAGACTTCTAGTGTTGTGATACTTGAAATTTAAAATTCTCATCCTTATATTCTAATCTGTCCTTGACCGTACTGTATTCTATCTTGGTAGCTTTCTTCAACCCTCCAGGAACTGTGTTCCCCTCATGTGCATCCCTGATTGTCTTTGCCTTATCAGTTATTTATGCCTTCACCTGTCCAAACCCAAACTTTAGAATTCCCCTTTCCATACTCTCTGTCTCTCCACTTCTCTCTTCCATGAAAACACTTGTTTAAAAACTATCTTTTAACCAAAATTTTGTTCATCTATTTTCACATCGCTTGTGACTAAGCTGGATTTGGACTAAATTTTCTTTTTGTTTTGAGAGCACCATGACATTTTATCAGCAGCTGCTGTTTGATTTTTTTCGGATTCTTTTGGTTTTTAGGAGCTGTTTTGTTTATTAGGTGATGCAGTCAGGTAGTACATATTACCGTCTATGTTTGACATTTGGTCATAGAGAACTTGAGTATTGCTGAAAGAAAACACATTTTGTCAAAAGTTTTTGTCTTCTGCTCATCAGGAGAATTTGTCAGAATACCAATTTAAGGGAATACCAACATTTATACTGTATGAGGGAAAGGTGCAAATTGGTTAGCAGTGGACTGATAAGTAGAGGTGTTGCCATGGCAAATGTACCACTTGATCCTCTCCTTAAGTTGTTAAACTTGCAAAATATCCAGATGTGTGCAAGACAAAAAGCCTCAACAGCGTTCATTTTCAATAATATTCTTTTTTATTTTAGATTTCCTTCTCTAGATATGAGACTCTCTGGAAATAGGCAGATAGGAGCAGGACTAGGCCATTTCAATCTGTTGACTCTGCTACACCATTTAGTTAGATCATGGCTGATCATCCACTTCAGTGTCATTTTTCCACACTGACTATAGCAATTGATGTTATTAGTATCTGGTCATCTATCAGTTTTTGTCTTGAACGTGCTTAATAGTTGAGCTTTCACAGCCCTCTGAGGAAAAAAGTCACTGCCATCTGAGCGGTGAAGAAATCCTTTCTGAGCTCAGCTTTAAATGGCCTATCTCTTATTCTGAGATTGTGTTCTGGATTCTGATTCTGGACACATTAGCAAGGGGAAACATCACATTGCTAAACTTATTGTGAATAATATGCTGATAATTGTGTCCCGCTGTTTACAAGCAGTCGCAAAGTGTTTAAATGTACAAAATACCCAAAAAAAACACAGTGACCAACTTGCTTGGCTGACATAACACCGTATGGAACTGGAAGAACACAGCAGGCTAGGCAGCAGCATGTTATCTCTGACTCCAGCATCTGCAGTTCTTGCTATCTCTTGCTTGGCTGAATGCTACTCAGGACAAAAGGAGTTCAAACCACGTTTGCTTCAATTACAGTTTCAGCAGCTCTTTTTGTTATAACACTTAACAGTGAAAAGAAGGGATTGTTAATTTATGCAACTTAAACTATGCCCCTTCAAAACGCCAAATTCATTCAATTACAATTAAGACAGACGAAAAAAACCCAAAAGCTTTAACCGATAATAGAGGTGGTAAAAGAATATAAACAGAGTAAACAAAACTCTGAAGATCACAAGTCCACACACAAGGTAGAAGGTTATTTTTCTCACAGTCCTTTTGATTTTTGTAATGCTGACATGCCATTGTCTGCAGTGTGATGGTCACTCTTCGATTTGAAGGTCGATTGGTGAACTTGGGGTCTTGTATGAATGCTTTCTTTTGGACTTGCTTGGTATTTGTCTTTATTTCTGTGCATGCACACTGAGAGGTGGGTGCCTTCTGTATGAAGGCTGTGGCTGGCTCTTTATCTCTGATCTTTGTACTTCTGACTTTTTTAAACACTGCAGCTCAACCAATCAGAGAAATGTTGTCAGGCAGAACTACCTTACACTGAGTGATTCTTGATGCCATTCAATCTCATTCTCCCTCTTACTGCTTCCAAAAAGCAACATTGTAGTACACAGCTCAGCAATATACAGCACTTGGTTTTCAAGTTGCAAAATTCTGCTGCATATTAAGTTATACCAGACCAACATTGATTTCCGTTTATAGTTCCAAAAAAAAGAAAAACTGTGGTCTGTTCCAATATTAAACCCTGTACGAATTTTGTTTGTTTCAATGAGATCACCTCTCATTCTTTAAAATTCTAGAGAATACAGGCTGAGTTTCCTTAGTCTTGCCTTATAAGACAGACCTCCCATCTAAACGATTTATCAGGTGAACATTAGTTGCATGCCTCTATGGCAAGTGTATCTTTCCTTTAGATAAGGAGACCAAAACTACAAAATATTCCAGGTGTAGCCTTACATAGGTTCTGTGCAGCTACAGCAAGGCATCTTCACTCCTGTACTCAAATAATAGAAAGTAGGAGTCATGATAGATGATTTGACCCTTTGAGCCTCCTAAACCATTCATTATAATAACTATGGCTGATCATACAACTCCATACACTGTTTTTGCTTTCTCCTCATACCCTTTGATCCCTTTAACCTTAAGAACTATGTCTAATTCCTTGCAAATGTTCAATGTTTTTGCTTTGTGGCAGAGAATTCCACAGGCTCACCACTCTCTGGGTGAAGAAATTTCTCTTCATCTCAGTCCTTAACGGCCTACCCTGTATCCTTCGACTGTGACCCTTCTGGACTCTTCGTTCATCAGGATCATCCTTCCTGCATTTACCCCATCTAGTCCTGTTAGAATGTTATCGTTTTCTGTGAGATGCCTCCTCATTCTTCTAAACTCCAGTTCATACCCTTATGCTGAAGGCCAACATATGATTGCTTCCTGCACCTGCATGCTAGCTTTTAGTGACTCATGAAGAAGGACATCTAGGTCCCTTCGGTCATCAGCACTTCTCAACCTTTCACTGTTGGTACCTAATCAGTGGTGATGGAGGTACCATTCTACCAATGATGGATCAGTGAAAGTCAGAAATGGACACAACCAGAATTTTAGTGACACTGGGATCTGCACTGATTGTAGAGATGAATTAATTGCAAAGCTGGAGAAACTATTAGTCATGGAGGGATTTGAAAATTGGGATAAAAATGTTAGAGTAAGACTTTGCCGGGCTGGGAATAATTATAGGTCAGCAAGCAGGATATATCAAGCTATTTACAAAGAGACTTGGCAAAAACAAAAATTGACACTGAGGTACAGATGGCCAAAGACTTGGCGAGGAGTTGTGTTTTATGGAGAATATTAAAGGAACAGAAATAGAATCTGAGGGGCTTAGGAAAGAAATTCTAAGGCTAAAGGCCTAGGTGACAGAAGGCAGAGCTGTTAATGGTGGAGCAATTAAAATTGAGGCTTGAGCAAGATACCAAAATTGGAGGTACATGGATAACTCTATGACTTGTAGAGCTGCAAGATTTTATGTAGAGATTAGTTAATTGAATTTCTCATAATATTATATTTCTCATAATATTTTGGGAATAAAATGTGCATTGTCAATCAGGAAACAGGCGATTTTGATCATGATGGATGTTCTGTCACCTATTGATCTTTTTACATTTAAATATCCCATTCCTAGTACCTGATGAAACATTTTGACGCATCTTGGGGCATTTTTGCATCAAATTTCAGTGAAAACAAACTTCAAATGAGTAAAAAGTAAATGTAAATCCCTAATGTTTGCTTCTCTTGGTAGGGTGTCATATGTACTGTTAAGTTTATTATGGTGTTTCACCCTATATACCATTTCACTGGAAGGTTACTTTCTATACTGGAATTTCTGGAATTCTGACCACATGATCCAAGTTGTTTCATTCAAGCTGTGTTCTGTTTCGGCATGGCTTTTATTCTCTTCACTTTTTTTAATAAAAGCATTTTTCAAATTCCTGTAAGCATTACCTAAAATTGTTTGGAGCGTATTAAGGAAGGAGTTCGGACTTCCAGGCAGATCCCTGAACTGTAAGATGTTGGTTTTGGACAATGTAGCCATTCCACACGTGACTTGATTGATGATCTAAATCTAGATTAACTGCTGAAATTTCAGTTAAAACACACAAATTCAAGGGGGAGAAACATATTTAAAATAGCCCTATAGGGTTTGAAAGATGACATATAGTACTCCATTTTGAGAAGACAATTCCATTCATCCTTCAAAAAATGTTGGATACCCAGCTACCAGTCCAGCGTTTGAGAGGAGAGATCTTGTGGGATGTTCAGTCCAAAATGTCATGACAGTTTACCTTTGGAATGACTGTGGCTTTTTACACAATCACATCGTGATTAATTTTATGTTGAATAATGCAAATATGATTTTTGCTTTAAAATTGTTAAAGTTCTCATGAGTATCATTGAGAGGATTCTTCTGTGTATTGAACAAGTGATAAAAATCAAGTTCTCTACAGAAATCATAAACTTTACAGAAAAGTAGAGGAAATGCTGTTTGAAATTCACTCTTCTAAATGCACTAAAGTTAGCATTTTGGACAACAGCATTCACTAATAACGGTTTTTTCTTCAAAGTGATACCTTTTTAAATTTCAGGTTATCCGCGATTATAATGGACCTGCACTTAGTGAGAGGATAGCTGCTGAGAAGGTGGCAGTTGAAGAAGAAGAAGGTTAAGTACCAATGCTTGCTACTTTTAGTTTATATAGTAGAACACTTACTAAAGGATATGAAGGTGTCTGTGTATTGCATTTTTAAAGTGACTTTAATTTTCAAGAGTCATTTTAGTTGTACATGTACCAAATAATTTTGCCATTAAAGCATACTGTAAACTTAAATGGAATTGAGCTTATGCAGTTTCTATTCCTGTGAGTACAGGATGAGAAGGGCAATTTACCCTTTTGAGCCAGTCTGTCATCAGTATCTATTCTGTGACTTCACCGCCTTTGCGTAATACCTTCCGATTAACAAAAATCTGATAAGAACATAATATAAGAACACATGAAGTAGGAGCAAAAGTATAGAAGGAAAGAGCTCTGTGACATTCAATGATGTTACAATCACTGAATCCCCCACTATTAATATTGTGCGGGTTACCGTTGACCAGAAACTCAATTGGACTCATCACGTTAACAGAGTGGCTACAGGAGCAAGAATACTGTAGCAAGTACCTCACCTAACTCCCCAAAGCCTGTCCATCATTTACAAGGCACAACTCTGATGGAATGATCCCACTGACCTGGATGGGTGCAGCTCCAACAACATCAGGAAGCTTGACACCATCCAGGATGAAGCAGCAGTACATCTGCAAACATCGACTCCCTCCACCACCAACGCTCAGTTAATAGCAGCATTGTGTACCATCTACAGGATGAATTGCAGAAAATCACCCAAGATCCTCAGATAGCACCTTCCAAACCTCCTGGCCTACATGTGACTCTAGACCCACAGCAATGTGGTTGACTCTCAACTGCTCTCTGAGCAATTAGGAATGGGCAATAAATGCTGCCTAGCCAGTGATGCCCTTATCCTGTGAATGAATAAAAAAATGTAGATAAAAGAAATTAGTTTACAGTGTCATTGTGGTCAGCGCGAACATGGTGGCCGAAAGATCTGCTCCTGTGCTGTACTGTTCTATGTTCTGTCACTTTTATGTATGGAGATTTACCTATTTGCACTGATGCTTTCCCTTCATTATGTACAATGACTGACTAATTATCAACTAGAAGGAAATGGCTGTAGTCTGTTAAAACCAATAAGCAACGAACAGAAAATGTAATGGCTAGGGGGCTTGCACAATTATATTCAATTATATGGGCAGCATCTGTGGATAGAAAAAAAAAGTGTTGGTGATTCAGATTTCTAGCTTCTGTAATATTTTATTATTGTATTCGTGCCTAGTTACATCGTAGCGTATAAAAGCCAAGGGAATTTCCCAGTTGTACGATCAGGCTATTTAGCAAACACTTTTACGTGCTGGTAAACCTGGCCTGAACACGAGAGCTGTTCTTTATATTTGATCCACTGCATGATAAATTTACAGTTGTTAAATTTTATTTCCTTTATTTTGACATACTAAGTTCTGATTATTGACCAAGTGTCATCTTTAATTGTAGAAAGTCAACTACTTGACATGGAATACAGTGGTTTTGACCAAGACCAGAGCACCAACATGGAAACCTCCTACTCTCTTGATAATAGAATAAAAAGGTCTTCTGCTACCACAAGTTCAAGATCATCCAGCAGACCAAGTTGTTCAAAAGGTATCGATCTACAGCATTTTAATATCCTGTCTCAAAATTAAAATTCAATTTATGCCACAAAGTAGAACATACTTTCGCAGCTTGTTATGCTGCAAGTTCCCTGGAGTGGTGATGTGCGGAATCCAGCTAGTAGGTGTGCTGTTACATTTGTTAGGCTTGGTAGTAAGCCATTTACCTGCTGGTTCTACTGGCTTTCGACAGATAAATATATTTACAGAATTAGGAATGCTAGATGTTTGATTTATACTCTTATTCACGAGATACTGTCTTCACAAACAGTTATCCATCAGTGATAGTAGGAACTGCAGATGCTGGAGAATCTGAGATAACAAGGTGTGGAGCTGGATGAACACAGCAGGCCAAGCAGCATCAGAGGAGCAGGAAGGCTGACATTTCGGGCCTAGACCCTTCTTCAGAAGGGTCTTCTTGGCCTGCTGTGTTCATCCAGCTCTACACCTTGTTATCTCAGTTATCCATCAGTCTTTTGATTTTGAAATACTTCACTTTCATGTGTGTTCTTGCGCTTTCCAAGTAAATTGGTCATCTTTTCCAGCTCTATAAAATAGCAGAAAATCTGACTTGGTTCTGTGCATGGTTGATTTTTCTGTCTTTTTCTGCTTCACCATTGGCAAGAGATTCTTTAGCTATCGTGTCCTACATGCTGGAATTGTCTCAACTATTTTTGTTTTGGATGAAGTTGAGGACATATAGGGCAAAGCAGGGGTTGTGAAATTTAGCATATTGCCAGAATATTTCAGTCAATGACTCCTGGCTGCAGGTACTGATACCCCTGTTAATGTTTTTCACATTTTATATCTTATCTGCCATAATGATTGCCAAGATTACAGCAACAAATGCATTTATATTGTGGCTTTAACATAGACTATACTTTAAGGCATGTAAGTGAAAGGGAAAACTAATCCGAGAGAAAGGATTGACCAAAAGTTTAGTTGAAGACATGGTTTTTAAGGAGTGTTTAAAGCAAAAGACTTGAATGTGTGAAGTTTAAAGTAAGGTTGGGATTTCCAAGAATTGTGGTCTTGGGGAAAAACCTAAAGCCAGGGCAAGTTAATTAGAACATGGATGGTGGGTGCATAAAATTTGATAGGATATAGGGAGCAGACTTTATGATGAACTGAAATTTCACTTGGAGGATTGGTGTTTGATGGAGGTCAGAGATAGCAACTTTGTTGTTCCTAGTGTTTTAATTCAAGGAATCAATCCCTCACTTAAGATTGTGTTACTTGTACCTGAGCGATCTACTTTATTTCAAGGTGTTAAGAATTTTTTTGTAACAATTAATTCTGTTTCAGTTGGTTCTCGGTCAGATTTTAAATACTCGCGCCGTGATTCCTCAACAAGTCGATATGATCAGTCCAGGAAACGAGAAAGCTATAAAGGTAGAACAGTTTTTTTTTGTGTTCTATGATTATGAAATTAGTTGAAAGTCTGTATTCTCACCCTACATAAGATTTACCAAAATACAACAAGAAGCAAAACTGCCTTGTTAGTATCAATGGCATGCACTTTGCTTCACCATAATTTATATATGCAGTGACAGTCAGAAGGGAAGCTGTCCATTTCCTCTCCAGTGCTGCTTTCTTTTAATATAATACAGCGATCAGAAGTAGGGCCATTTTTGTCAATGTGGTCTGACTAATATTGGATGCAGTGTTAGCAGCACTCCCCTGCTGTTGAAGATGATACTGCTCTGTAGACATTGCATATTGAATAGTTTCTGTAGACTCCAGTCTGAAACATTGTGGAAATCCTAGAATTTTTTTTAACATAAAGTTCAATGAAAAGACAGGAATTTTTTTTGTTTTGGAATGAGGCGTTTCTTGGAAATTGTGATTTTAGACAATCGCTTGTCTTGGTTACTTGAACTAATTTCAGGAAGTGTCCTACTGGGTTAATGACTGTTTCGTTTAAATGAACTTTGCAGAATTGGAGTTTGTGTTTGGGCGGTCACTCGGGGACAGTCTGCTGCAAAACAAACTGCGCATCTTGTGCATCCTATTTTTGAAATGGCCTTGCTGTGAGATCAGGTTTGAACCTGATTGTTCTCCTGGAATTGATCACATCTGCAGTAACACAAGATGAACTGACTTTGGAGCAGTCTATGCTTTATCCATTTTGCCTTCAACAGTAATCACCATTGGCCAGATGGTGCTTTTCTTTTTTTAAAAGTGAATCTCTCCAAAAGATAAATTCTTCCCCCTCCTCGACATGCACATGTATGCGTCTGCACGTGCACACATCCTGTGTTTTGGGCAATGTGGTTGGGTGAATATTTTTAGTTTTCCAAATTGTGTCAGCCAATTCTACATCTTCATTGGCTGGATTTTGTTTTATGATAAATAATTCTGTGTCTATTAAAGAAACCTGATTGGATCTTTTCATTTTAAGTCTAATATAAAGAGAATGTACAATTGGTTATATTGGGACTTGGGAATTATATTTTTCAGTTTATGTTATGATACGTGGAATAGTGGATCTAGAGCATTCTTCCAGCTTGATTATAGCAAAGTCTTTATAAATTAAGTGTGGTTTGGTTTTTTTGGCCTTGCCATGATTTTTAACCGTAAAATTGACATCTCAAGTATGCTGTCAAGTAATGTACTTTGTTATATATTAATTGGGCTGTATTCACTTTTTAAATATTTTTGAAGATACTAAACATTCTGGAGAAGACTGGCGAGATGAATGGGAACGATCGGTTAAGCGAACAAAGTATTATAAACAAGATAAAGAAAGATTGAAAGAAAAAAGTACATATTCTGAGAGAGATAAAGACAGGAGACGGAAAAGTAGATTGGATTCTAAAGATAACTACAAGAAGGGAGACCGGTCTAGGTAATGCTTTGTGAAAGCTCATTTTCTTTTGCCCATAGTATTGCCACTGACACATCATGGTAGCATCTTAATAGTTTGAGAAAGCAAGGGTAAGTGTTGGCTGTATTCAGGCCAAAGGAATTTTACCACATACGTGAATGGTTGGGCAGTAAACTTGTCAATAAGCCAAAATTATTAGTGCTGTAAAATTACACCAATTACAGTTCTGATTCTTTTGATACAGTCTGAAATTTCATTTCTTGGGGTACACAGAAGGGCACCTAAATATGAGTTGAAGAACCTTCTAAGGAGCAGATTGATATCTGGTGCAGTAACTGAAGTATTGTAGGGACATATATAAAAAAAATACTGCTGTAACTTATATCCCAACTCCCTGGATCTGCAAGTAGAGTTTTGCAGTTTTCCCATAGTGCATGTTTTAAGAACAGACTTGAAAACCATCTCAATCTGTAAAGCTGCACTGAAATCTGAAATATGCTAGAGCAATATCTTCTATTAGAATCCTGGCAAACCAGATACTTGAAATGGATTTGCAAGGTTAATGGAATGTAATGGTTAGAGACTGGAAAATGACTAATACAACACCCTTGTTGAAGAAGGGACGGAGGCAGAAGACAGGAACCTATAGGCTGGTTAACCTGACCTTGGTGTTGGTAAGATTTTGGAGTCCATCATTAAGGATGAGATTGTGGAGTACTTGGAAGTGCGTGGTAAAATAGGTTTGACTTAGCACGGCTTTGTCAAGGGGAGGTCATGTCTGACAAATCAGTTAGAATTCTTTGAGTTGACAAGCAAGTTAGGCAAACGAGAGCTAGTAGATGTGATCTATTTGGATTTCCAGAAGGCCTTTGACAAGGTGCTGCACAGAAGACTGATAACTAGGATAAAAGCCCATGGTGTTAAAGGAAAGATTCTGGCACGGATAGAGGATTGGCTGACTGGCAGAAAGGGTCTCGTGGTTGTAGAGAAGATGTTTCCATTAGTAGGACAGACTAGGACCTGAGGGCACAGCCTCGGAGTGAAGGGGTGACTGTTTAGAACTTTTACAGCTGGTCCATGGAGCTACCTGCTGGTGACCTGTTGCTTTTCCAGTTGAGCTGGACTGGCGTTAGTGAGTATGTAACTTGTCCACGTTTTTGTTTAATCCTTCTTGATCCCCTTAACTTTCCTAATGTGAAACATTCAGTGCCACAATTGTTGGTGAAGTTGCCAGAAGAATAGTTGGCTCATAACGAGTAGATCAATTCTTCAATATTCTTAATATCTCGATTCAGATTAAAAAGGTCTCATGGATATTAGATCCGGGATGAAAAACATGAGCAATGGGGCGTTTTGGGGCATCAAGTTAATAGGAATAAAAACCAATCGGCTAATACCTCCTGACATGGAAGGCAGATAGATATGTCATGCTAATAGGGAAACCTTTAAACTTTTCCTGATCAACTAGTTCGGAGATGTTATTACATATTGTACAACAGGTGGGGCTTGATATTTAAGATGAAATGGTCACTGGCAGGTAGTACCTAGAAACTACTTGTAAAATGTTCCATTGGAATTGAAGCTGTACGTCTAGCTCTATCTTTATTTTGAGCTTTAACGGTAAGCTGTGAAGTTTGTTTTTTGGGTGTTCCTGCTAATTCCAGCTGTAGCCAGCTGTTAAACATGTTTAAGATTTTATAGCAGTCAATTAGTTGCTATTCTGTGATGCATTCGGGATGAAATGATTTGGATGAGAATATAAGAGGCATGGTTAGTAAGTTTACGGATGATAGCAAAATTGGTATAGTGGACATTGAAGAAGATTATTTAGGAGTATGACAGGGTCTTGATCATCTGGACCAGTGGACCGAGGAATGGCAGATGGAGGTTAATGCAGATAACTGTGAGGTGTTATAGTTTGGTAAGAGAAAGCAGGGCAGGACTTACACAATTAATGGTAGAACCCTGGAGAATGTTGTCAAGCAGAGACCTAGGATTGCAGGTACATAGTTCCTTGAAAGTAGCATCACAGTTAGACAGGGTGCCAAAGAAGGTGTTTGGCACACTTGCCTTTGTTGTTTGGAGCATTGAGTACAAGTTGGGAGCTATTAGCCGATTGGTTTTTATTCCCTATTAACTTAATGCTCCAAAACGCCCCATTGCTCATGTTTCTCATCCCAGAACGAAATTCCTTGAGACTTTTTTAATCTGAACTGAGATATTAAGAAATTTGAGAAATTGACTTGTTATGGGCCAACTATTCCTCAGGCAACTTCAGCAAAAATGACGGCACTGAATGTTTCACATTAGGAAAGTTTATAAGGATTGGTAAGACCACATTTGGAGTTGTGTGTACAGTTCTGGTCGCCCTGCAATAGGAAGGATGTTATTAAACTGGAAAGGGTGAGAAAAAGATTTACAAGAATGTTCCTGAGTTATAAGGAGATGCTGGATAGGTTGGGACTTTCCTCCCAGGAGCACAGGAGACAGAGAGGTGACTTTGCAGAGGTTTGTAAAATCATGAGGGGCATAGATAAGGTGATTAGGCAAGGTCTTTTCTCCAGGGTAGGGGGGAGTCCAAAACTAGGAGGCATAGGTTTAAGGTGAGAGGGGAAACATTTAAAAAGGGACCTGAGGGACAACTTTTTCACACACAAGGTATTTTGTTGACTGCTTGCAGGTAATATCTGTTCCTTATGTTCTGACTAAACCCAACATTTCAGTGCCATTCTGAAAACATCAAAATGGTTTTATTGTTTTCCATAGGAGTAGTAAAGATGATCACCATAAAGGATCCAGCATCAGTCATCGGGTACCAGAAAAGGTATATCAGAAATTCATATTGTTTAATCAGTAGACTATAGTTTCCACAGAATTAACTCCTATGTCTTGAGTAAAAATACACTCATGAAGCATTTATTATTTATATCTTAGTATTCTGGAACTGATTCTTTATTCATCTTAGTGGCCATTTTTAACGTTTTAGAGTTTTACTGAATTTTATCTTTCCATTTACTTTCAAGTTATAACTCTGCTTGTAGTTTGCTGAAATGTTTTGGTTAGAAAAATGCTTTTTGCTAAAATGTTTAGGTTTTGCTGCACTGATGTGGGCAGAAAACCTGTTCTTAAATAATTGAGTGGTTAGATACATCCAAGTAAGAGTCTTGTTTACCTCTTAATCTGGTCATGGCATCTTCTATTCAATTTCCAGTATCATATGGGCAGCATGGTGGTTAGCAGTGCTGCTTCACAGCGCCAGGGACCGGGTTCAATTCCAGCCTTGGGTGACTGTAAAGTTTGCACATTCTCCCCCTGTCTGCGTGGGTTTCCACCGGGTGCTCTGGTTTCCTCCAAACACCTCAACCTTCAATTTCCCCTTGAGCAAGCTCACAATTGTCATTCATGCCTCTTTTGGCGTTCTTTGGAACTGTTGTCCTCAAGAAATCACCACCTCGAAACTCTCCATCCTTCATTCATGACCTTCACGTGAAGAGTGCCAGATGGGACTAATCTCGCCATCTGACTTACTGTTCCATTCACCCCACCTCTGCGTTTGTGAACCATAATCCAGTGTTCTTCACTGGAACACTGTATTTGACTTTGACTAGCAGCATGTAATCTTTGTTTTGTAAATTTTTGTACTCTAACTGTGTTTCTATCACTTCGCTATCCCATTTTAAAGTTTTTTTTGTTATCTAACTGTCCTAATACATTTATTAATTGAGGTTGTAGACTTGCTCACCGAGCTGGTGTGTTTGGTTGCAGACATTTCATCACCCTGCTAGGTAACATCATCAGTGTGCCTCCAGTGAAGCGTTGGTGTTCCGTCCTGCTTGTTATTTATATGTCTCGGTTTGCTGGGGTGGTTGGTATTACTTCCGGTTCTGTTTCTCAGTGGTTTGTACACGGCGTCTAATTTAATGTGTTTGTTGATGGAGTTCCAGTTAGAACACCAGGCCTCCGGGAATTCCCTGGCTTGTCTCTTTTTGGCTTGTGTGATTATGGATGTGTTGTCCCAGTTGAATTTGTGTGCTTCATTGTCCGTGTGTAATGAGACAAGTGAGAATTGGTCATGTCTCTTGGTGGCTAGTTAGTGTTCGTGTATCCTTATTGTCAGTTTTCTTCCAGGTTGACAATATGGATACACGGACACCAACGAGCCACCAAGAGACATGACCGATTCTCAGTGGTCTCGATACACACTGACAAAGCAGGACATGAATTTGACTAGGACAACATGTCCATAAAAGCACAAGCTAAATGGAGACATGCCAGGGAATTCCTGGAGGCCTGGCATTCCAACCGCAACTCGGTCAAAAAACACATTGAACTGGACCTGAAATACAAACCACTGAAGAACAAAACCGCAAGTGATACCACCCACCCCAGCAAATCGAGGCATATAAATAACAAGCAGGACGGAACACCAATGCTTCACCGGAGGCACGCTGACGATGTTACCCAACAGGGTGACAAAACGTCTGCAGCCAAATACGTTGGCTCGGCGAGCAAGCTTTCAACCTCATCCCCAACCCGAGCTGCTCATCGTCTCAAATGCTTTAAACATTTATTAATTTAATAATTAACATAATAATTTTTCTTTCCTCTGACTTCCACTATCAATTTTGGATTTTGTTGTTTGTTTGTCATTCAGTAAATAATTCAGAATCTGAAATTGACTTGATCACATCACAGGTGTGACAGTTGGTCAGTCTCTGTATGAAATGGGATAATTGTTATGGTCGCAACCAGTTGAACCTGAATGTACTTCAGCAACAGCTCATTTGAAGTTGAGAAATGAGTAAATGGTATAACTGTACCAAACCATGATAAGCTTTATTTATTAAATTTTAGTATGTTTGCTCAGTAGTGAGAAGCATCATACCATTGAATTGAAGCTGTTTGTTTAAGGTCACTCACAAAAGAACACAAGTACTAATGTGTTCCATTGTTTCTCTAGTTTAATGTTACTGAGAGTTCTGTTTCAGAAATGGTTAGCAGTTACAAGAATATTGAGAGAAAATATTTCTTTGTGTACTTTAGCATGGCCTATCCAAACAAGATATCATAAAGAAGGAGATTTTGGCGTATTTGGTGAGTGCAAAATGGTTCTTTTCATTTTCTGTCAAAAGTTAAAATCTAAGGGGCAACGTTTTCATGCAGAGTGTGGTGCATGTATGGAATTAGCTGCCAGAGGAAGTGGTGGAGGCTGGGACAATTACAGCATTTTAGAAGGCATATGGATAGGTAGATGAATAGGAAGAGTTAGAGGGATATGGGCCAAATGCTGGCAAATGGGACTAAATTAATTTAGGATATCTGGTTGGCATGGATGAACTGGACCAAAAGATCTGTTTCCGTGCTGTACAGCTCTATGACTCTAATTACAATTGCAATACAAACTGCTATGTAAAGATGACTTTCACTTTTTTTTCCTCAATTAAACATGTTATAATACATCTCCAGCAAATTTTCCCTCTATATTGTGTGGCTGTACAGCTGCTGTAAATGTACATGCTGCCTGATTGGCGTGCTATGCATTCGCTTCTGGTTTCATGAACCTTGGAGGTGCACACAGTGGCTGGAGAAATGAAATGGAGCATGGACCTCCAGGGCAGGTAGGTCTTGAACCCAAACCTTCGGCCTAGAGGAGGAAAACTACCATTGCATAAAAAGATCCCTCAACTCAAAAGGCCATTGAAACTGAACAAAGCAAATTATAACTGCCAAAAGTGATGCACTTTTTAAAAAAGCACCTTTTCTGATCATAGGTCTGTTAATTTTTTGATATTGTCAAATCTATTTTGACAGAAATTGTGAAAGACCAATGTGCAAGTAATGAGTTGAAAGAAACACTTGTTTTGAAGTTTGACAGTTGATCTTTAGAGGTGGTAAGTCTCCAAGGCAGCAGTTGTCATGCAGTATTGTTTGAAATCAGTTGTTGTAGAATGAGAAATGCTGCTGTCAAGACCAAATTTATGTTTCACCATAGCTTGCAATCTGTCTGCCAGAAAAGAGCAATTATAAAGGAACGGTGATTCGATTTAGGATTGTATATGGCTTGGAGGGCAGTGATGTTCATCAGTGGTGAAGGAAGTGAATGTTAAGATATAGTGAATGGAGTGCGGTCAAGAGGCTGCTTTATCCAAGATGGAGTCAAGCTTCTTTTAGCCTTTGGACCTGCATCCACCCAGGCCATTGGAGAATATTATGCCTTTACTTTGTAGATATTGGCTGGGCACTGGGGAGACAGGCGGTGAGTTACTTGTAGCACAATTCCTAGGTTGACTTCTTGGAGCCACAGTATTTATATGGTGAGTCCAGTTCTACTTTTGTTCAATGGTAGCTCCTGTTGATAGTGGGAGACTCAGAGATGGTAATGCTGTCTAACATCAAAGGTTGATGGTCTCTTGATGGAAATAGTCATTGGCGAACATTTGCATGTTCAAACGTTGTTTATGAACCTAAACCTGGATGTTGTCCAGGTCTGACTGCTTCAGTATCTGAGGAATTGCAAATGGTGTTGCACGTTGTGCAGTTATCAGCAAACATCCCACTTCTGACCTAATGACAGAGAAAAGGTAAAGTCATTGAAGCAGTAGCCTGGCAGAACCCAAGCTTATATCATTTGAGCAGGTTATTCCTTTGCTTGAAAGGACTGTCGACGGCCTCTTCACTCACTTTGCTGATTTTGGGGAGTAGACTGATCAGGTGATAACTGGTTGAGTTGGAGTTGACCTGCTTTTCATAAAGACCGTGAATGCTGTAAACTCCAGCTGTAGCTGGTGCTGGGAACATGCGTGTGAAGAGGCGCACACTGTAATTTTGGAATAATGAAAGTCAGTCTCCATGATGGTGTAGCTGGAAAAATCCAGTGGGAAGTGATCCATGTCTTGGGAGGCTGGGCTGTCGGTTGTGTAGTAGGATGCTTGGTTCTGGAGGTTTACCTTTCAAAAATGAAGACTACCACCTGCCCCCTCCAGCTGCTGTACAGCTGCACGCATCTTGTCTTCTGGTATCGGCCAACATGGCCCCCTGCTTTTAGGTGGCGCCAAGTAGGGTGCCTGTCCATTAAGGGATAGTATTGAAAAATAGTTAGAAATTTTGTGATGCTATTTATGTTGAGATTGTTGTGAGCTTTTTTTTACATATATATCTATAATATTCTTTGGTGTAAAGAACTTATGTTCTGTTGTTAAAGAATATCTACAGCCTTTAGTGAATATGTTAGTGATTAGCAAGCACATTCAATACTTTAAAAGTAAGTTAACTCTATGAGCTATCAAGCCAGGTTTCATTCTGGGATCTGATTTGTCCAGTATTGCCATCAGATGGAATTGTAACATCTCACATAAAAGTTTCAAGTCTGTATGCATTGGTTTCAGGGGAATGAATTTGAGGGCTGTGCCAGTGGGAACAACCAGAGTCGGAGTGCAGTGGTTTTAATGGCCAAGGGCATGGAGAGAAGGGTGTTTATTGTCAGTAGGGTGGTGATGGAAATATCCTGGTGAATGGGGAATAAAGAGTTAGACGTGGGCATTTGAAACTACACATGCAAGTAAGAGGGGGGAGGGATTTTCTCCTAGGTTGAAGGTGCTTCAAGGGATTGACCATCCATGTTTGATGGCAAGGCCGAGGGATTGGTCTTGAATATGAATAAGGAAGGTTATTCAGAGAGAGAGATTAAAGGACATAAAGGCACTGAATTCAGAAGGGAGCACAAACAAAAACAAAAGTTGCTAGGAATACTCAGCAGCATGTGTATGAGAGAAAGCAGAGCTAATGTTTTGGGTCTAGTGACCCACTTCAACGCCGTTCAGAAAACTGAAATTGGACAGTTGCTTGGTGGCAGAGACTTAAGACCGTGAAGTACTGAAGATGTTTCTGAGAAACCTGGTGTAGTGCATGGTGGGGGAAAACACAACTCTTAGAAAAAGATGTTTATTAATACTCTTGGTTGGTAAATAATCTATATTTTCTTGCAGGCCACTTTTAAAATTATTAATGATACTGATGCTGGATATGTCAAGGAAGTCATGTACAAACTTAGTAATCGGTTGTTGCAGTTTGGGCAAAAAGCCATGAAGATTACGGTAAATGTTTTGAAAGAAACTTAATTTCATGTGATTATTAATTTGTTCCTATCTCACTATAAACTTACCTCTCCTGAAGGCAACAACTTATGCTGAGGTTTGGTTACACAGACAGCAGTATCCAGTAGAGTCAATTCTTCATGCATGACTCTGGCCAGAAGATGTTGATGAGCTAACTGATTGAGATAAGCAAAGCCTAGTCACATAGAATGTTTACAGAATTTTCATGGGGTCACTGAATAGAGAGCAGAAGTAAAGGCACCACAGCTCTGTCCATTCAGAGATAGCAAGAACTGCAGATGCTGGAGTCATAGATAACAGTGTGGAGCTGGAGGGACACAGCAGGCCAGGCAGCATCAGAGGAGCAGTAAAGTTGAGCTCTTATGAGAGGTGTAAGAACGTCAACTTTCCTACTTCTCTGATGTTGCCTGGCCTGCTGTGTTCCTCCAGCTCCACACAGCTCTATCCATTAACTTCTCTTTAACAATGTTTTGTTTCATCCTATTGTAACCAGAAACACTGAATTAAAACGCAATGTGTGAACAGCACATTCACTTTGATTAGCTAATTTAACACTAATCATAGGTAGCACATAATCTCATTTGATCTTTTTGCTCATTACAAAGCCATATAGTGTGTATGCTCAATGAGCTAATATGTGCATGTTCATTGTTTTAACATTCACCCTTCCAACCACACCTACACACAATTTTAAATTGGGTCCCAACCTGTTCTCAGACATGCTATTCTTAAACATGTTTCAAGTACAGATGCTACACTGAACTAAGTTGATGTGCCTATTTTTTAAAAAAAAAAGTTTACTTCAGGCCATTGTCACTAGCCAGGAAACCTTTTCATGTAACAATGTTACTGACAGGCCGACTGCGAGAAAACCTGTAACGGCCCCTTGATTAATTTTTACAGCATTCTTCTACAAATGTCACATGTGGGTATGCATCGAGTTCATGGTATATTTGATTTTAGAATAAGTATTCCTTCTTGTTTAGGGTTCTGCTGAGAAGTTAATTGAAGAAACAAAATCTTGTATACCAGATGGAAATTTTGGACACGACTCTCGTAAGAACACAAATTTGGGGAGTTATCCAGGTAATTAGGTTTCAAACGGATGGTCGTCTTTCTTTAATCTTGATGGTGCATACTGATTTACGGAATAATTCACGGATTTTACAGTGTATTTTAATCACTACTGGTAGCACTTAGCATTGCCTTTAAGACCCTTAAGACATCAATGTCATATGTGTAATATACCGTAGATGGAGTTGGAATGCAAACAGTTTTTAATACAGTTGTCACATCCTGTCTTGTATGGTTTGTTTTGCTTAAACGGACATGGACATTTATTTTCATATTGAGCATCCTGATCCTAGTCTTATAGTTGAACCCCTTGAAATTACTGTACTTGTATCAAGACTCATTGACTTGATCTGACAAATATTTTAGAACTATAAAACTCCAAGCCAGCTTGAATAAAACATCTTAGGCTTCTTATAGTTTTTGTACTGCTTTGATATGTTACTGAAGGTTGATTAAATGAAAAGATATGCTAGATTAGCTGTATTTGTTATTTAGAGAGGTTGACCATGGCGTTCAAAACAGGTTACCTCTTTGTTTACAATAAATTATTTGAACTGGGGAAATGTGAAAAGCAACAACTTTTATATTTGTTGTTGCATAGTGAGATTCTTTAAGCACAAAAGGCTATACTTAAATTTGATAAACCAGTATTGCTTTGCAAATGGTCTGAAATGGTTAGCCCAGAGAGGATGGATCATTTCTCTTAAATCACTTTTAGATTGATTATCCCCTACTATATATTTCATTCTCTATAGTTTCCAATTAATAAGATGTCCATGAACAAAGTTGATTTTGGAAAGTTTGTTGTATTTGCCATAAAACTCTTGTCATTTGTTTAGCATCGTCAGATAAAAATGTTTCCAGATTGGGCTGAAATTGCCAGGATCCAACTTTGTGACATCTTTCATTGTAGACACCAAACAGTTGGAGGCAAAATAGTCTGAACAGCAAATGTTTCCTTAGTATAACAACCCACTCTGGAAAGTGCGCTGATACTCCATCCCCACTACTTCCAGGGTTGTCATAAAAGTTAAAAGATTTAATCAGATTACTCAAAGTCTTCATTACACTGTGCAGTGAGCTCAGTTTAATAGAAAACACTGACTTTTTTTTGCACTTTAGTAGTTTCTACTAATAAATCAACTCTAACTACAGGCAAACACAATATATATTATCAACTTATAATTCTGTAACTTCAGTTGTACCCCTTTTTAAACCTCTACAAATACTTGGAGACAGGAAAAAGAATAATGTATTGTGTGAAGGAAAAAAAAAGGGAACACCATTTGATAGCACCAGTACACAAGATTCATGCAGGTATCCTATCGCTTCGTCTGAATATTTAAGATCTCTGATCATCTTTCTCCCAAGTCCATTCAGTTCTTTACTGCTTTACTAGCAAAACCAAGGTTAATGGGAATCAGAGTAAAAATGAGTCATACCTGGTACAAAGGAAGGTGGTGATTTTGGTTGTCATTCACCTCAGCTCCAGGACATCACTGCAGGAGTATCTCAGGATGGTGTCTGAGGTCCAGTCATCTATTGCTGCTTCATCAAAGACCTTCCCTCCATCATAAGATCAGAAGTGGGGATTTTAACTGATGATTGCACAATATTCGGCACCATTACCAACTCCTCCAACACTGAAACAGACCTAGGGCGGATGCAGTAAGACCTGGACAATATCTAAGTTTGGCCTGACAAATGGCAAGTAATGTTCAGTTCGCACAAATGCCAGGCAGTAAGAGAGAATCTAACAATCTCTCCTTGATGTTCGATAGTATTATCATCACTGAATCCGCCACGTACTACATACTGGGGGTTACCATTGACCAGAAACTGAACTGGACTCACCATATAAGAACTAAGCAGGTCGGAGGCTAGGAATCCTGCAGCGATGAACTCCACTCATGACTTCTCAAAACCTGTCCACCATCCGTCTAAAAGGCACAGACAGGAGTATGATGTATGCACCTCGCTTGCCTGGATGAATGCATTTCCAGCAACACTTAAACATGATAGTATCTATGATATGCAGTCTGCTTGATTGTCACCACATACATAAACATGCACTCCCTTCAACACTGATACTCGGTAGCTGCAGTATGTACCATCTACAAGATACACTGCAGAAATTCACCAGGGCTCCTCAGACAGTGTTTTTTCAAAACATCGAACACTACCATATAAAAAGACATGGGCAGCAAATACATAGGAACCCCCACCATCTGCGAGTTCTCTTCCAATTCACACACTGTCCTGTCTTGGAAAGGTGTTGCCTCTTCTTCAGCGTCACCAGTTCAAAATCCTGTAACTTCCTCCTTAACAGAATTATGGGTATACTTAACACCAAATAGACTGCAGTGGTTCAAGAAAGTAGCTCATCACCACCTACTTGAGGGCGATTGGGGATGGGCAATAAATACTGGCCCAGATCGTAACACCCACATTCCATGAGTGAATGCAAAAATAAAGATAGGATAGTTGACACACTACTTTTTCAGTCTCCCAGTTACTGTTTAAAGGCAGCAGCTTATTGATAAATCTTGAGTTAGAATTGCTGAACATCTTCCAATTCTTTGCTACTTTTCTGCAAGAAGAGAGAAATGCTGTCTTATAGAATCTGGAGGCATTCTCCCCTGTGTTACTCATACAGGCTGTCCATTTGCCCAGGAGCCCGTTAGAGCATTCTTGAACCCCACAACTGGTCCTGTTTCCTCAATCAACAGGCTGACTCTAAGCAAAACTGCCCTGAATTTACACCCCCAGTTTAGACGAGTCCACCAATCCTTCCCATGCTTGAGCAAAACAACTGTGGAAATATAGCTCGCAATGAGTTACAGTAACTGTTTTAAAACTGCAACATTGCCTTCCACAGTTTTCTTGGTTTAAAGCAGTATCATTTTCCCATTTTGGTCCACAATGCAAAATAAAGAAAAAAATTTAAGAAGTGGTTTTTACGTTAGAAAGGAGCTTGAATTAGTTGAGAGTGAGTGCATGTACCTCAAACAAGGAAAGTGTTTATGATGAATGATTTTGTACAGAAATATTGAAGTTCAGCCTGCTTTGACACAAGATAATTGAAGCAGAGACTGGTATATCTTTTATGGGAAAACAACGGATGAATCTTTATAACACCAGAATATACAAAAAATGACAGAACAGGGTCAGTGGGATAAGTTTTGGATCACTGTAGTAGAAGACAGCACAAATCCAGCATGATGAATAGTCTATAAAAACCAAAAGAACTGTGGATGCTGTAAATCAGGAACAAAAACAAAGTTGCTGGAAAAGCTCATCAGGTCTGGCAGCATCTGTGGAGGAGAAAACAGAGTTAATGTTTCGGGTCCGGTGACCCTTCCTCAGAACTCCGTGATGAATAGTCTCCTGTGCTGTAAACTTGATTGTTCTGTCACGCTAATGTGACTTTTGTTCAAACTATTGCTCATAACAGATAGTGACCAAGGTATAATTCGCTCAGGTTTTTATAAGATATCATCACCTCACCATAGATTAGTTATCCTATTTTCTACAAATACTTCAGCTAATCACTTCTTCAGCTGTTCCAACAGCGCCTTGACAGCTACACAACACACTCAGTTTCACAGTTATATCACATCCACAGGAAACATGATAAAATCTTATTTAGCCGTTATTATTGACATAGGTAGGAAAGTACATTGTGAGAAAGGACTTGAGGACGCAGATGGACAAAGACAAGTTGAGTGAGTGGGGAAAATATTGGCAAATGGAGTATTATGTGGGAAAACGTGAAACTGTTTACTTTGGTAGGAAGAAAACATGGAGATCAATTGCAGAATTCTGAGATACAGAAGGATCTATGTGCTCTAGTGCAAGAGTCACAAAATGCCAATATGCAGGCACCAGCAAGTAATTAAGCTAGTGGAATGCTATGCTTTATTACAAGAGGAATTTAACATAAACTTGAGGATGCAGTACTTTAATGACCTGGAATGAGAGGATGTCTTATGAGGAAGGTTGACTTGATTCAAATACACATGACCTGGATGACCTTGACATGAATGTGGAAATGACATTTCTTGTGAATGAATGCACAGTGCTGATTGAAAATTATCAGCTGGATTTTCTGAGGAGTGCAGTCTCATGCATCCAGCCCTTTTTTAGATGAAAGATGGGAGCTCCACATTTTTGCGTAGGAGATTCTGATCAGGGTTTCTTCAGAAAAGCAGAGCTGTACTTGTTCTGAAAAATCTTTTATACTGCAAAACTGTTGGAAGTCAAAGCATACCCCGCTTTTATAGAAGCCAGCTCCATAATAAATTTAAAGACCCTGACAGCTGCTTTCATCTGCTATCAAACAGTAAGTACATAATGTAAGTCTGGGGTTCTGGGAGGATAGAGAGGCAGATGGGTGGGGGTATAGGATGCATGTAGGTAAGGGTTATGATTCCAGCTGGGTAGTGGTAGGGTGCCAGTGATTAGGATGCCTAAAGTATAGGGTGCCTGGTAAGTGGGGCATTATAGTGTCACTTGAGTAGGCATATTGTGCCAGGAATTAGAACACCAGATGGGTAGGGGGGTAGGGTGCCAGCATAGGATGTTTGATACCTAATGTTCCCGTTTGGTAGGGTGCCAGTTCAGTAAGGAGTAAGGTGTCAAGTGGGTAGAATGCAAGGTGGCGAGGAGCTAGATATCTAATGCAGAGTGAAGGGTAGACTGGGTGGGTAGGAGGTTGAAGCCGACAGTGAGGAATGTTAGGGCTTGGGATCAGATCAAGCTCAGTGGGCACCTGGTAGTGTTTGGTGGTGGTTGGAGGGGGAGGAGGTAGGGTGGCGTGTCAGGCATGAGGTTAAGGTATTGGGAGTCAGATTTAGTGACAGTGGGGGCAAGGAAGGTCAGGTGCAGAGCAGGGCAGGGGATGGATGGGCGTACAGTGGCGCAGGAAGAGAATTCGGCCACAGATCAATGCAGGGGATGTGTATTATTTCCAGGGGACATGTTGGGTCAGGATTTGAAGAATCTAAATGGCCTGGGGGTGGGGGGGCCTGTAATTGGCGTTATGAGAGGTGAGTATGGCATCAGTTGAGCAGTTACTCTGGAGTTAAATACATAGTCTAATTCTCTAACTTCCCTTAATTTCATCAGTACTCTCTGATGTCAAATGGAAATGCCCAGTGGAATCTTAAATTTCTCAGACAATTGCTTGAGTCTGCAACAGTGGGGATTCCACAGGGTCTCCATGCCCAACTCCCATTTATGCTGGAATAGGGACTGGCCGTTGGAAAATTTGGGCCTATGATTCACTGTTTCAGGAGAAAACAGAATTTTTTTTTCTGAGGGTTGTGTGGTTTTGTGACTCTGCCTCAAAACTTAGGAGGCAATGTCATTTAATATTTTTAAGAGGAGGTGGATAGGTTTTTGTTAGGCAGGGGTGTAAGAGGATATCCGGGTAGATGGGAATGTGGAATTCGTGAGACAAATAGATTAGCCATGATCTTACTGAATGGCTGAGCAGGTTGAAGGGGCCGAAAGGCCTAGTACTTCCTAATTTGTTTTTAATGATCATCAAAATACTTGCAAATATTTACTCACCAGTAATTTGGTCCTGTCAAGACTGTTTCTCAATCTCATTATGACCTGGTTGTGTTTCTCTGAGCACCATCTTTAGGCAGTGCAGAGAAGAATAAGGATGACATCCTATTCAAGCAGTGAAAGCAGCTGCCTATCTAAGATTGCATTGGCTGGATGTAAAATAGACTACATGACAAAATAACTTTTGTTTTGACCTAGCAATGCCACCCCCTGCATCTCTCCGATACCCCCATGTCTGCAACATGTGCACAGGATGACATCTTTGCACACTGTGTGTGATGACCTCATCATCGCATGTGCAGACTTTTCAACAGGCTGTCTTACGACCAGGTGACATCACTGACTGACCGCACATGCGCAGTTTCCATATTGCATGACTGATAACCACTCCATTATGGCCTTGCTCCAGACATATGAAATCTGAGTGACCGAGGAAGAATGAGATTAGCTACCCTAAACATTTAGTTCCTATTGAATTATGGCAGCAAAGACTGTTAGCAAAACCGAAGTTAATAATGTGGAAGGCTAATCTTTGCTTTGTCAGACCTGACATAAAGGAACATTATCATGGTTGTTAGATACCAGCCATTACTGCTCCAGAGTGGTGTTGGGTCAATAATCTTCAGCTAAATCCTTAGAGACCATCTGTCATGATTACTTTTTTCATAATTCTGCAGGGTTCAGCTGCATTCAAAATTGCTCCAAAAGAAGCAATTCATGACCGTCTACAGAGGAAATGGAAAATATCCATGCTTGTTCGGACAAGTGCAGGCAACTGTTGTGTCCCCTTAATTCCAGATAATGACCACCTTTATCAAGATAATTAATATCTTTCCCTGACTTAAACCATCTGCTTTTGATTTTCACTAACCCTCAACTATTAACATTATTTCGATAATCACTTACTAGAAGCTCAATTGGACCAGCTGATTTGTCACCAGGCCTGAAAGATTAGCAAATTGGTCTCACTGTGAGTAGCTCATCAAATCCTTTAAAGTCAGTGTCCATCTACAAGACTGTCATCATCAATTTGATGGAATTCTCACCACAACATTCTTTCTAATTTTTCTTGTTCCTGTGCAGACATCTGAGGTCTGTGCACTGCAGCAGTTACCAGAAATGAAACCCTTTCCTTGGTATGCTGATCAATGTTCATACAGCTCCCCAGTGGCTCCATAAATTAGGAATGTCACTCACCACTTATTTGGGTGAGTGCAACCATATAAAAGTTGCTGTCCAAGGCACATCAATTTGCTTAATTGACACTTCTGCCATTGCACTGTGCTTCCAGTAGCTCCATCATTAGTGCACATCCTGCGGAGGCAGTAGGTATGATGTGTAAAATGCACAGCCCAAATTATTAACTCTAAATAGTACCTCTTTACTCTTTTTTTTACTTTTTAATAACACGAGCCAGAACAGAAAAGTGGGAACATTATCATCTCCAAAGTGACTTGTTTCTTTTGGAGATTCCAGGTCAGCATCGTCAGCTACCCCAGGTTCTAGAACTGTGGGAGCATCGTTATCACAGGGACATAGCTGTTCTGAGAGCTCATTACCACCTCAGGGCAACCAGGAATGGGCATGAATTACCAGCCTGTCCACGTCTGAAGAACATGAAAAAAAGCAGGTTCCATCCTAGATTATAAGGTGCAGAGCTGGATGAACACAGCAGGCCAAGC